TCTCAAGTGCTGCTCATAGGAGAGCTTGTTAAAGTAAACTGACATGTTGATATTTTTTCAAATCCTCTTCCCAACAAAGAAAAAACAAACAAAAACCAACACTCAACATAACACTAGTACATCATTGGTAGTTATATACAAAGAAAGGCTTCAGTTGGGCAGTGGCACACAACTGTAATCCCAGCAATGTGGGAGGCCGAGGCAGAAGAATTGCAAGTTTAAGGTCAACTCAGCAAGACCCTGTCCTAATAAAAAACAAATAGAAAAAGACTGGGTATGTAGCTGGGTGGTATAGCATTAGCCTAGCATGCTGGAGACCCTGTGTTTGCTCCCCAGTACCACAGACAAAAAAAGAAAGGTGTTGCAGGAGAGAAACACCAAATCTCTTAGCAAAAATAACTAATATATTTAAGAGGAAAATACTTTTAAACACCACCACCACATTAGCTTTACTGGTTATATAAGAAGCACTACTTTTTTTTTTCTTTTTTTTTTTAGTTATAGGTGGACACAATATCTTTATTTTATTTTCATGTGGTGCTAAGGATCGAACCCAGTGCCTCTCGCACGCTAGGTGAGCGCTTTACCTCTGAGCCACAACCCCAGCCCAAGAAGCACTACTTTGAGTATCAGCAAGGAACCTGTAGGTCATAGCACCGTGATTTTCGTTTAATCTTTGCAAGTCAAGAGAAGAAATCTGTGTAATTACTTCTAAAGGATGTGAGAATAAATGCACATTGAGAGCCTTCTGATGCACTGGCTGTACCTTTATTATTTTTACCTTGTTCACTAATAGTTCTGTGATGTAGGTTACCATACACAGTTAGATACTATGTCTGCATTGCACACCTAAGGCTATACAGCAAAAGAATCAGAATTAGTACAAATACAAGAACTATATTTACATTCTGTATACTCAAGCTCCAAACATCAGATAGTATTTACAAAATAAAACATGAAAATGAAAATCCAAAATTAATAATGTACATTGTTGCTAATGTGCTCAACTCCTTCACTGGGGAGAGATCAGTTTGCAAAAGTCTTGGTTCAAAAAGGCCACTTATGCTTCATGGGTTTTGTTATAGCATGTGAAGATGGTGACAAGAGACTTCAATCTCAACAGACAAGTACTTTAGAGCCACAGTGTCTTAAGACAATGCCTTAAACACAAGAAGGCTGGTGGATTCCTCAGGTGAACTGATGCCAGAATACACAGCATGAAAAGAAATGAACTGGAAGACACGGAAAAGCAGCACACAGCAGCCAGGGATCGGCAGGAGGCTAACCTCCGCTTGCACTTCCCACCTAAGCAGCCTTCTGGCTGTGAGTTGTTTGTTTTGTGGTGCTGGGGATGGAACCCAGGGCCTCAGGCATGACAGGCAGGCACTCTGCCACTGAGCCCCAGCCCAGCCTCTGGCTGTGCTTTTAACTTTTATCAATCTGATTTCTTCTTTTAAATGATCGGGGGCTTTCATAAATTTTATAGGGCTCAAATACTAACTTCATAAATGGCCTTTTGAACAACAGCAGCAAATAATCTCTCAGCAAATGATCTCTGAGCTGCTCCACAGGGTCACGGTCTGGCCTGCAAAGCTGATGGGTCACGGGCCGTGGCAGACGGCTGCAGTGCACACATGCAGAGTCCTATTCAAACACATCCAGCAATCTCCTGAGAGCAGCAGCAGAATTATTCTTTTCTTCTTCAAGAGCAAGTTAATAATCACATTTTGAAAAGGAAACCCAAAGGAAATGCACAGGACCCAAGTCAAACAACCCCTGACACTGTCCAGGAGATCCCAAGCAGAGCCCAGCACCAGAGCAGGAGACATAGGAAGAGTTCCCACAGGTGCTGCACCCAAGAGAATCCTTCTCTTCCAGTCCAATGTGCAATTCATTATAGCTGTATAAATATACAAATACCTTACAAAATTAAATATCCCTGTAAATTAGATAAGAAGCAGCAGGCAATAAAGTCTTTGCTTTGGGATTTGTGCCAGGAGAAGTCACCTCAATTTTAGATCCCCAAAGACCTTTCAAAATGATCTAATTCACTCCTTCATCTAAAAAGCTGAAAAATCCATCCATCTCTAATGTGAGTAGCTATCTAAATTCTATATAGCTGGGTGGAGCAAGTAAAATAATAGTGGGTTCTTAGCTGTGAAAACTTCCTTCCTCACATCAACAATTTCTCCTTTTTAACCATGTGTTGGGGTCCAGGTGCCCACCCAGCCACCAGCAGCAGCCTGGCCTGTGCTCCTGACTGTGTGCAGGGGCTGGCTGGCCCCCCACAGTCCTGGCCTGAGAGCTGACTGACTCCCAGGGTGGCACACAGAAACAGGGACAGTCTGAGCACTGGTTTGGGGCTGGTTGTGAGGCCATCTTTCACTTTGGTAGGAGAAGGGAGGATGGGGAAGGGAGAGAAGTTTTAACTGTCACACGTTTTTCTGTGGCTGAGTTTTCTTTCTTGCCTTTTTGTTTATTTGAATGAATACTTTAAGTAAGAAAAAATAAATAAGCCACCTGAAAACGTAGTTACCTGATGGGTCAGATCTCTTCAAGTTTCCTGCCACCACAGCTACAGCTGGAGCTCCATAAACAGTCTACTCTAAACCCTCTCCCTAAGCTTCAAAGCAGAGACAGCCCTGTTTGGAATGGGAAACATGCATCTTGGAACTGTTCAACTGATCTGAATATAGGCCCCAAGAAAAGGAGTGGAACCCAAGGCTGTGTGTACCCATCAGCCATGGCAGAGGCTCCTGGGATGGGGGAAAGCATGCCTGACCAAGACCCCTTGCAGGACAGACCACTCTCCTACCTCTGATTTTCCAATGAGGCCTTCGTATTTGGGCGTGTGGTGAATACAGTCCAATTTGGCTCATTCTAATGTCTGACCCTCCAAAGCAAAGACTTTTCCAAGCCAGTTTTGAGTTAGACCCCCCAAAAAAAAAAAAATCATTTGTTTCAGTGTATCCCAATTTCACTCTTTCTACCTCCCCCTGCCACAGACACGATCCTTCTGTCCAATTCAACAGCAGCAACACTGCTGATTTAATTTTACAAGTGACCTTCAAATTTCATCTTCATTTCCCTGAAATTATCTTCAGCTGCTATCCATGAAGCTGTCTCTCAGCAGACAGATCCTGCTGGACGGTGTGCGTGTCCAGCAGACCATGAAGACTTCTAACTACATTAAAACCTCACACACCGCTTAGGTAACAATATTAAAGTTAGTGACCCATGTTTAAAAATCCACAAATTTTGTTGATCACCTTTCAGATAAGTCTGACTTCTCTGCTTCTTTTATTAAGCTCTCTGTGATTCACTTTCCTCCTCTTTCCAAGGCAATCATAAGTGAGGCACGGAGACTGGCTCGTCAGAGAAGAGCCCAACCCAGACTAGACAGAGTTCAGAAGTGGAGCCTGGATGACAAGCCTCCCTAGTGACTGGATGTGAGAGCTCTTGACCTACTGGAAAGTAATTCAGCTCCCCACTACCTGAGAGTGCCCAAGAGCCCTCACTCCTGTCAGACGGAGAGCACAGGCCTGTTCCTGGAAGCCTGAGCAGTGGTGAAGTAGAGGTGAGCAGGGGAGTAAAGGGTGGCAGGGAGCAACCCCGAGTCACTGGCAAAGCACCTCAAGGACATGGGGGCTTTCTTTAACCCCAGTCATTCCTACAGAACCCACTGGCAGTTGACAGGAGCAGCGTTATCTTCTATGCTGGTCTTTGGAAATGGAAGGATCTGGTCTGTCAGCAGGAAAGGAGACTGTTGGCAGTGAGCACCCTCCTTTCTCCTTGGGTGGTATTTCTACACTACATGGAGGAGATAGTAACAGAGGAGGAGAGACAGGGCAGGGTACAGCAGCAAACTGTGGGGAAGGGCTCACTCCACCCTATTCTTTGTCCCCAGGTCTGTCTTGTTTTGTTTGGAGAGGTGGTGGGAGTTGGTCTTAATCTTGGGATCCAGAAAGTCAAGACTGCCATGTTTGCTCATTTATGAGTACAGGGTGATGAGCTACTGGATGCACAGGCAGATTTCCACATTTATACTGAAAGCTGCACTTTGATCAAAAGGAGCTACAACATCAAGTCCCTAACTCAGCATCAAGTTTATCACTCCCCCTTGTGGGAAATGTGTGCATGACGCTGCTCTAATTCATAATGTGTCCACTGTCATCCTTAATGCCAACAACAGAACTCAGAAACTCCTGAGCAAGAGCCTTCCTCTCAGTAGGGAAAAGCAGTTCACAAAGGTCCCTCTGACTGCTGCCTTCATGGCCCACTGCAGGTCCTGTGTCTTGTGAGCCCACTGCACCCTCGGCCTGTCCCTTCCCACAAGGCCAACAGCAACCATGGCCCAAGCCTACTGAAAAGGCTCCTCTTGCAGCTCCCATTCCATGAAATCCTGTAACTGTACTCTGGGTAAGCCCCCAGCTTGACTCAGAATCTTAACTGTCCCATTCTTGAGCCCACTAGAACTTTTTCCCTGAATGGAAATACAGGGATTGGCCACAGAAAAAAAGAGACAGAAGGGAGGGGGGGAAATATAAATTTTTTTCCTCAGGGTCTAACAAGGCCAGATTTTTCCTCCCTTAGTCTCTAAGCCACCCAAGAAAATATTAATGCTATCACAGAAAAAAAGAAAAAAAAAGGAACCTTGAAAAACAGTCAGAGGTATTATCCAAAGACAACAGTGAGACCTCAGTGGTGGTCATGATGGGCCCTTTCATACAAAAGGCAGCCAAAGTACACCAAAAAAATAACGTGGAGACTCACTGGATCCCCTCAGGTGTGTGTGTATATAGGTGCGCACTGCTGTTAATCTTTTTTCCTTTCATTAGGCCACATGCTACTAACAAGATTCTTAGCACAAGAAAAAAGGAAAGAGTACAGAGCCATGAAGATGGGCAACAGGAGAACTAGAAAAAGTGCTGGACAAGGAGGGAAAAGTAGTTAAGCACAGGGTCACATACAGGAGCAACCGTCAAGAATCACAAAGAGAATGAGAGGTAACACTTCCTTTATCTCTCGAAGGCGAGTGCAGCTTAGTATTTCGGCTGGCTTGTGCATCTGCGGGACAGTTTAGACCTGTGGGACAAATGGGAGGCAGGATCAGGAAACTGGATCTAGGTGTCCTCATCTCACAGGTCTTTTTCCTCTGCAGGACCAGGTCTTCTGGGACCTTGAATGAATGCTAGGCTGAGGTCCTGCCCACTCTGGGGACCCTGTGACACTAGCCTCACTGAGGACCTGTGGCTGAATCACAGGGCTGAATGGTGGGAGATATTAAGGTCCTTACAATCTTCCCTTTCCTTGGTGCCCTGAACCCCACCTGCAGACCTTGAGATCAAAAAAAGGAGATCAACGGGTACACGTGTGACCAGAGTCTCCTTGGTGACCAGGATACAAAAAGGTACCTTAAGGAAAGGAGAGGCCTCATCACCACTATACAGTTCATTGCAGTCCTGCTCTCCCTGCACCTCAATGTTTCCTATTTATGTGGATATCTCTGAAGCCAAAAGTCCAGGGGAGAAAGCAAACAGAAGAACTTCTTACCGTATTGTGCCAGCAAGGAGTGGGTTAAAGGCATATAACCAGTCATTCATGTCTTTGTCATTAAGAGCCTGCAGAAGGACCCCACGATGCTTTGTGCATACAACAAAAGTGTTAGGTGTCTGAAAGAGAGAGGTAGAGAAGAAGGTTGCTGCATGGAACAAGCAGTGGGGACCATCCTGCCACATTTGCCAGATTCACAGGGTATAAAAAGCTTCAGGCTGAAAGCTCAAGGAATTCAAGTCTACAGGAGGATCCATACCACACAACAGAACCTTAAACTCAAAAGGGAAGGCACGTGTGGCAGTGAAAAGCCAGGGCAGAGCAGGACTGACCTTCACCATGGCCTGCTGGTCCTCGCTGTATTCCACTTGTGCTGTGGACAGGTTAATGATGCCACGCTCCACGGGGTCCTTGTCACTGTTATAGATGAAGACGTAAGGGCGGCGGACCACAACAAAATGTTTAGCCCAGTTGCTGGAAAGTGGCTCCTTGAAATGCAGATATCCTTTCTTAGAGACCACTGAGCTAAAAGGACAGTACAAAAAAGTTAGTTTCTCACAAAAAGAAAATGATCATATGCTGAGCATGAGATGATGCATGCCTATAATTCCAGTCAACTGGGAGGCTGAAGCAGGAAGATTGCAAGTTCAAGGCCAGCCTCAGCAACTTAGCAGGTCCTAAGCAACTTAGTGAGACCCTGTCTCAAAATAAAAAATAAAAAGGGCCAGGGATGTGGCTCAGTGGTAAAATGCCCTGGGTTCAGTACCCAGTTCCACAAAACCAGAAAAAAGACAGACAATCATGAGCTGAGAACTATTAATGGTCTTTTTGCCCTAGATTATTTTCTGCCAAATTAATATAGCAAAAGAGCAAAAAGTGCCCCAACACCATGCTGTGTCAGATGCCGATGCCTGATGAGGTGTAGCTGGGGCAGAAATCCAGTCTGGCTCCTTCCCCAGATTCAAAGTACACTAGACTACAACAGGCTCACACACATGAGTTGGAAGTCAATTCTTCTTGCTAATTTTTTATATCTAGTATCCCTGGGGAATAGAGTACTTACCCTGGTCTAATTTCTTCAATATCTGGAACGAGATTGAGAAATTCATTTTTTCCTGCTCTGGCCAAATAGGGTGTTTCCACAGCTGGAACAATCTGAAACTGTTCAAATTCTGGGCAGGGACTAGAGGCTCGGGAATTGGCTTCTAGGGTCCTTTAAAAGAGAGAGGTTAGAAAGAAAAGGGTAATGAGAGTCTCAGTAAGGCCAAGCATCTTGGGCACAGCCACTTCTCCAGGAGGGTATGGCTCCTCTCCCTGAGCACTAGCTGCAAATGTCAGTTTCAGAGAACTCAGCTGAGTAGACAAGCTCCTATCAGAAAGTCAACACTGAATTCTACTGGTTTCCTCCTAGAGTTGCAAGAGGTCACTGATGATCACTGAGTCTCAGTTTATCTTCTTAGCCTAAGGCTCTCTAAACACAAGTTGCTGAATGTGAACTCTATTCCCTTATGTTTCTTTTTAGTTCTGTAGTCAAACCTAGGGTGGTTTTCAAAATGTGGTCTCTATACTTGCCTGGCATGCATGAGGTCCTGGGTTCTAGCCCTAGCACAGAGAATAAAAAAGTGGTCTCTGACTGACAGCAACAGCTTCATCTGGGAAACTGTCAGAAATTAAAATTCTTAAGATTCTAACAGATACCTCCAGCATCAGAAACTTTGGGTGGGGCCTGGCCATCTACAAGCCTTCTAGAGGATACCAATGCACTCAATCTGAGATCTCAATCTGCCTTAGGAGTAGCAGATAAAGTCAATAAATGGGAAGAACCTCGGTTCCTAATGGCTGTGCAAGCAGAGCTGCAACACTGAGCTGGATCAGTTCTCTTTACTGAGAAAGAATCTCCTAGGTTCTGTGTGGTATCTTCATAGAGCAGCTTAGCCTAAGATGGTATCTCACTGATTGTAAGAAACCTTTTTTTTCATAATTTATCACTTCTTAAATTACGATGCCTCTTACAGGTGATGGCATGTTAAACTGAATTAGTTTTTTTTTTTCTTAGTGGCCTATAAAATAATCTTATAGTTGATGGCATCATCCTAAATTTATAACATTTAATGAGAAAAGGCTCCAGTGCATTTCTGAACATTGCCAGGGGGATGGCACTGCCCTCACTGAGAACCAGAGCTGGGGGAAGGCTGACATTTTCCTTGGTTCTTAGACTGACTTCTCTGTGAAATTTGGGCACTTACTTCTGATCCGCAGAGTTGCTCCTAGAGTCTACCAGAGAGGGGCAGGTGGAGGAGGGAGTGAGGGTAGCGCTGCTGAAACTGGACACAGAGGGATCCCGCCCAATTGGAGAGATATCAGACAACTGGAAGCAAAAAAAAACAAAGAACAAAAAATAGCCAGTGAGATTCAGGAGCAAATGGCTTCCTCTCGCCAGGCACAGTGGGGCACGCCTGCCATCCCAGCAACTCAGGAAGCTGAGGTAGGAGAGGAGGACTGCAAGTTGAGTTAGACTAGGTAACTTAGCAAGACCCTGTTAAAGATCAAAAATAGAAAGGGCTGGGAATTTAGCTCAGTGGCAAGGCACCCTTGGGTTTAATCTCCTGTACCATAATAAATCACAAGTAAATAAAAAAATAAATTTTGAAAAGCTACCTTTGCCATAGTCTTTGATAACCATTGACTTCCTTTCATAAATCTTCAGAAGATCACTTAATAAAATAAACCTACAGATGGGGCAGTGGTGCACACCTGTAATTCCAGCTACTCAGGAGCTGAGAGGAGGGATTACAAGTTCAAAGTCAGCCTCAGCAATTTAGCGAATCCCTAAACAACTTAATGAGATCCTGTCTCAAAATAAAAAAATAAAAAGGGCTGGAGGTGTAGCTCAGTGGTAGAGCACCCTTAGGCTCAGTCTGAAGAGCTGCCAAAAATAAAAAGCATGCACATAAAAAATTATTATTGTCAGTAAATAAATCAAACAAAAATTCAAAAAGAGAAAGTAAATAAGTCTACAAATATTTTATAGACTGAACACAACATTAGGAATCAAGACATTTACAAAAGAGGGGGCTACAAAGCACCTGCTGAGCATGTGGGAGTCCCTAGGAAAAATAAGAGAAAGGGGGAAAAAAGATGGGAAGGGAAGAGGGGGAAAAAAAGCAGGGTGGGAATGTAGTTCAGTGGTACGTGCTCCTGGGTTCAATCCCCAGCAGCAAAATAAAATAAAATTAAAATAAATAAATGCATACAAGCTGCCTCTGCCATAGGCATTAACAATTAGTGCCTTCCCTTCATAAAGTTTTAGGGATAAGGGATACAGCTTAGTGTAGAATACTTGCCTAGCACATGTTAAGGCCCTGGGTTTGACCTCTAGCATCACACACACAAACTCAAAAAAAAAAAAAAAAAAATTGAGGGGTGTATTTCAATGGTAGAATGTTTTTCTAGCATGCAAGAGGCCCTGGGTTTTATCCCCAGCACCATTTAAAAAAAAGAAAGACATTTACAAAAGAAGTAAAGCTGTTTTTTAAATATTTCTATGGCCCTCTGACATTAATTAAATAACATTATGCATGCATGAACCCAAGCAGCCACCACATGCTATGTGTTGTACTAAGAACACAGTAGAGGTCCTGCTCTCCTATGTCCTGCTCTGGAGTTTACATTTTAGTAGAGAAGGCAGACAATAAACCACTGAACAAACACTTTTAAAAGTGCTGTTTGGGGACTGGGATGTGGCTCAATGGTACAGCACTTGCCTAGCATATGTGAGGCACTGGGTTCAATTCTCAGCACCACTTATAAACAAATAAAGGTCCATCAATAACTAATAAAAATATATTTTTAAAGAGTGTTGTTTAGTAACTGGGTGCAGTGGTACATGCCCATAACCCCAGCAACTTAGGAGGCCAAGGCAGAATTCTAAGTTTGAGGCCAGACTCAGCAACTGGGAGAGATCCTGTCTCCAAATTTAAAAAAGGTAGAAGGGGTGGGGGCTGAGGATGTAGCTCAGTGGTACAGCACCCCTGGGTTCAATCCCCAGTACTGCAAAAAGGTAAAGGGAAAAAAAAAAAAAAGGTACCAGGTAATAATAAGCACTACAGTGAAAAATAACATAGTGTGGTGTGGAAAGTTGAGAGGGCAGCCAGCTTGCGATTGGGCAGTTAAGGAGGCCTGCTCCACACAGACAATCTTAGACCCCTGCAAAGACCCCTGGCAGGAACGAGCTGGGAGTGTTTAAAGAACAGCAAAAAAGCTCATGCTGATGAAGATAGAGTGAATGACATAGTTCTCTGAAGTGTTTTCCTCACTCTTTGCTGAACGCACTGGGTTTTTTGCCACCAAGAAAAAGCCTTAAGACTTTCTTGTGCCTTGTCATACACAAACATATCACCGTCTACAGAATATTCTTCTCCAAGGGATTTAAGGAGAATCCCAAAATGTTTTTCCTCTGATAATCACTGTAAGGGACATACATTGTTATCTTCAGAAGTCAGTGTTCTGACTTTGAAAAACCAGATACATTTTCAGACATAATGGTCACATATCAAGCCATCTAAAAGCATCAAAAGCCAGGGACAAAATCTGGAACGCTGAAGAGAAACTGGTAACCAACACACTGGCTAATGATGATGGCTTCAAGGTGCTCACCTTACAGTCACTGATGCTGCCATGAACTTGGTTGAATTCTCGATTAAAAGTATGGGTGAGAAGCTGCAGGCACTAAAGAAGAGAAAGAGAAAATGAAGTTGAACTTAAGACTTCATTGGCTAAACAAAGCCTGGGATGCAAGGTAGGAGGGGAACTGACACACCTAAAACTCATGCTGGGGCTCAGATGTTACCCAGACAGCTATGGAAATTAACTACATATACAACAAGGGAAGTCCGGTATATGTCTAATAAAGATGATAAAATAAATAGATCTAGATGGGCAAAGTGACACATGCCTGTAATCTCAGCAACTTGGAAGGCTGAGGCAGGAGAATTGCAAGTTTGAGGCTAGCCTCAGCAATTTAGTGAGGCCCTATGCAATTCAGTAAGACCCTGTCTCAAAATAAAAAAATAAAGGCTGGGCATGTGACTCAGTGGTTAAGCAACTGTGGGTTCAATCCAAAATAAATACCTAATAATAATACCAAAATAAATACATAATAATAAATAAATAGATTTAAAAAGTTATTTTCAGCAGGATGCAGTGGCATACACCTGTAATCCCAGTTGTTCAGGAGGCTGAGGCAGGAGAGTCCAAGTTAAAGGCCAACATGGGCAATTCAGCAAGATAAAATAAAAAATAAAATGTGCTGGGAACATGGCTCAGTGACAAAATGCTCCTGGGTTCAATTCCAAGTACCTAAATAAACAGCCATTCTCAACACAACAAAAGTGAATTACCGCCAGGCACGGTGGTACATGCTTGTAATCCCAGCATTTGGGGAGACTAAGACATGAAGACCACAAATTCAAGGCCAGTCTCAGCAACTTAGCAAGACACATCTCAAAATAAAAAAGGGTAGGTTAAGTATCTCTGGGTTCAATATCGGTTTTTTTTTTTTGGTTATTGGGGATTGAGCTCAGGGGGTTTCAAGCACTGAGCTACATCCTCAGCCCTATTTTGTATTTAATTTAGAGACAGGGCCTCACTGAGTTGCTTATGCCTTGCTTTTGCTGAAGCTGGCTTTGAACTCAAGATCCTCCTGCCTCAGCCTTTGGAGCCGCTGGGATTACAGGCATGCACCACCATGCCTGGAGGGGTTCAAACAAAAAGTGGATTACTGCAAACACCATAGTATGTAAATGCTTATGAATGTAATAGCACTCCTTTAATTCTCAATACACGGAGACTTCTGGATGGACAAGTTTTCCTAAACAAACTAGAAGACTATTAGGTTAAGAAGTTGCCTAGCAACTATACACCTGGGAGTCATCCTCAATAACCCTCTTTTTTCCCACCACATCTGATCAGATTCCCCCTTCCTCTTCATCCTCATTTAAAAGGCTTAAACATGCCAGGTGCAGTGGCTTATGCCTGTAATTCCACCAACTTGGGAGGATGAGGCAGGAAGATCCCAAGTTTGAGGTCAACCTCAGCAATAAGTGAGACTGCTCAAAATTTAAAAAATAAATAAAAAGGGCCAGGGGAACTGACCCCTTCTACCACCCAACAAAAAAAGGTTTCAAGATGGGTTTGGGGATGTAGCTCAGTGGCAGAGTGCTTGCCTAGCATGATCAGGTTCTGGTTTAAATCCCCAGTACTGAGCCCCCACCTGAAAAAAAAGGGTTCATCATTTCTTATTGGATTACTATATGAAAAGAGGTCTTCCTTTCTCAGTGATTCTTTTCACTACTATTCCATTCTTTTTATTGCTGCCAGGGAAATCTTTCTCAAAAAATAATTTTTAAGGGCTGGGGATATGGCTCAGTGGTAGAGTGATTGCCTAGAATGTTTGAGGCACTGGGTTTGATTCTCAGCACCACATAAAAATGAATAAATAAAATAAAGGTACTGTACCCATCTACAACTAAAAAAGAATAAAAAAATAATAATGTTTAGGGGCTGTGGCTGTGGTTCAGCAGTAGTGCACTTGCCTGGCATGTGTGAGGCACTGGGTTGGATTCTCAGCACCACATTAAAATAAATAAATAAAATAAAGGTCTATCAACAACTAACAAATATTTAAAAAAAATGTTTAAAATATTTCCACATTGGCTAAGGGTATAGCTCAGGGGTATTTCTGGGTTCAATATGAATGAGACTCTGGGTGTGATTCCCAGTACTGGGGGTGGGGGAAAAGCCTATACCACTCCCAAGATCCACTTGAAATTTTAGTGTCACACATAGTACCCTCTCTTATCTCCCACCCCTCTTGCACATGAATTCCCTAAGACTGATTATAGAGAAGTCTGCTGGCTCTGTCCTGTATGTCCTTATAAGCCTTCCCCTAAGAGAAACACGCCTCTGTTGTATGTTGGTTGCCCATAATCTTATGCATAAAGCAGGAATTGAGTCTTATTTACTTCTACATTCAGAGTATAAGCATAGACCTTGAACCAGTGTCTCTCAAAGAAAGTGATGAAAATGAACAAACTGCAAGATTAGCTCAGAGCCTTGAGGTAGGAATGCTCAGCCAGGAGGAAGGAGTTCTCACCTTGGTAGCCAGCTCTTTCTCACGATCCACTAGGCTTTCAATGTCTGCGGAGTCATAGCCACTGCTCTCACTAGGTGTGATGGCACTTTCAAAGGTTGTGGTTGAGATCTGAGAGGAGATGCTGGTGGAGGTGCTGAGGGTCCCACTGCTGAGGCTGGGGGACAGCGAGTCACTCAGGGATTTGGGGATGCTATCACCAAGTCTTTCACGCAGCAGGAGGAAGTGGCGGGTTTTCTCCACCTAAGAAGATCAACACTACTGCCTCAGCAAACACAAGGCTCATGAGGGTCTTAAGAAGCAAAATATTATGACTTCATCATCACAGAAAACTGAAAAGCCATGATCACACGGCAAAGCCAGAGGTTAAGAACTGGGATTGTGCCATCCTGCAGCCGAGTTCTTGCCCTTGGCCCCTCCTGCCCTTGGATACCTCATGCAACAGCTCCAGCTTCTCCAGTTCCCACTGATGCTCCAGGATGAGGCTGTCTCCACGCGGCCGCCAACCTGCTAAATTCTCTTCTCCCCGCACATATGCCACCGAGGTATCCAAGACTTTTCTCCTCCTCCTCTGCATACCTAAGACAGAGGGAACATTTTTTCTTCTCAGAGAAAAATTCAATTCCAACTTTAGGTCAAATGAGTTGTTAATTCTTTTTTTTTGGCAGTGCCGTAAATCCTATCCAGGGTCCCACACATGAGAATTACTAATCATTATACATAATAAGCTAACTATGATTTCAAGATCCATAAAATTTTGTTTATTAATACAAATTCACACATTTCTCTCAAAGCAACTCTCTAAACTTTTTTTTTTTTGGTGTGGTGCTGAACTTTTTAAAAAACTGAGTTTTATATTCTTTGATAATTATGAAGATTGAAATACAATGTGAGAAAATGCTCAAGTTTTGTGTTAAGTGAAAATACAGAGATGTTAAGTAGTCTGTACACTATGATTCTAAATGCATTAAAATATATCCATATGAAAAAAGTGGAAAGGGACTGCACACACACATTTAGTAGTTCAATGGTGGTAGATGACAGATGGCGTTAACCTCCATCATTTCTAATTATTCCTTCATTTATTTATTGCAGTACCGGGAATTGAACACAGGGCCTATGCATCCTATACAAGTACTCTATCACTGAGTTATACCCCAGCTCTTTTTATTTTTTTATTTTGAGACAGTATCTCACACTAAGTTGCCCAGAATTTGCAATCCTCCTGTCTCAGCCTCCTGAGTAGCTGGAATTATGAGAATCACCATTCCTGGCTTCCCATTTATTTTTCATAAATGATACACTAATTCCACAAAGGAAATACATGAACTTATATTATTCTTTTTCTAAATCTTTCCTGTGGGCCCTGACTCCTTTTCCATGTATGTTATCTAAAATGACTCAAACTACTAGGCTGGGAATATAGCTCAGTGGTAGACCACTTACCTAGCATGAGCAAGGCAGGCCCTGGGTTTGATCTCCAGAACCACAAAAAATATAACAAAATAACTCAAATGCTCATTAATCAAATATTTTTTAAATGATTTTTTTTGGGGGGAGAGAGAGAGAGAGAGAGAGAGAATGAATTTTAATATTTATTATTTTTTAGTTTTCGGCAGACACAACATCTTTGTTTGTATGTGGTGCTGAGGATCGAACCCGGGCCACATGCATGCCAGGCGAGCACGCTACCGCTTGAGCCACATCCCCAACCCAAATCAAATATTTTAAAAAAACCTGTGCAAGGACAGGGGTATAAGTGGTAGAGTGCTTGCTTGGTATGTGTGAGGCCCTGGGTTCAATCTCCAGCATTGTAAACAACCAAAAACCCTGTGCTATGGTTTGAACATCTCCCCAAAACTTATGCTGAGACATATGGTGGTGCACACCTTTAATTCCAGTAACTCTGGAGGCTGAGATAGGAAGATTCCAAGTTGGAGGCCAGCCTCAGCAACTTGGCAAAGCCCTGAGCAACTTAATGAGACCCTGTTTCAAAATAAAAAACGGCTGAGGATATAGCTGATGACAAAGTGCCCTTGAGGTTCAATCCTCAGTACCAAAAAGCTCCCACAAAATTCATCTTAAAATTTAACTGCCATTGTGATAGTATTAAGGGGTGAGACCTTTAAAAGGTGATTATAGCTTAATATTGTTATCTTGGGAGTGAGCTAGTTATGAAAAGGAGAGTTTGGGCCCTCTCCCCTCTAGTTTCTGATGCTATAGGTCTGGGTTAGAGTTTGAAGAATTTGATTTTTTTTTTCTTTTGAATCTAGGGCCTTGCAAATACTAGGCAAGCATACGACTATTGAACTACATCCCCAGCTCAGAATGTGAATTTTTGACAATTTCCCAGGTGAAGCTGCTGCTGTTTCTGCTCAATAATGTATTACACCAAGTTATCTTTGGGCTAAGGTGGTGAGGGAAGTGGTTACAGTTTTGAAGTCAAATTCATTCTAATTCACTCAAAAGTTTTATATTTCCCGGCCTAGCAACATTTTGTTTGATATAATTTTTGAAACTATTTTACATATCATAGACCAAACAATATTGCAATTCTGAAAAAGGTAATTCTTACCACCATCACTAAAGTTGGTTTGTAAAATATACATGTTTCTAAAATTTTTTCATCTAGCTACATAATTTTTTAATTTTTTTGTAACAGGGATTGAACCCAGGGGCACTTAATCACTGATCCACACCCCTAGCCCTTTTTTGTATTTTATTTAGAGACAGAGTCTTGCTGAGTTGTTTAGGGCCTTGCTAAGTTGCTGAGGCTGGCTTTGAACCACGATTCTTCTGCCTCAGCCTCCCAAGGTGCTGGGATCACTGGTATTCATTACCAAGCCCAGCCAATTTATTTGTAATATACTTGAAACATATCAAGATATTATCACCTCTACAATCCATAGGCACTTACCCGGACTGCCTGTGTCTGCCATTTTGCATAAGCTGAGTTCATAAATTCCAGTGACTCGATTGCTATTTGAAAATAAAGTAAAACTGCTTCATTTCTTACAGCACAAAAATAGGAAAATCTCAATTCCACCTACTTAAATTCTTCTGTAGGGACTGTAACCCACCTCAAATATAACTACAGATATTTCTTATCAGTCACTGTTCTTTTCCTATTCTGAACTAAAGCAGTATATATATATCTTAGGAGGAGCTTGTTTTTATCTCAGTCATTTGATAGCTACATTAATAGGATAATAAACTAGGAAATTCATAACACAAATGTAAAAACTAAAAAATTTGCTTTTTGTTAACATAAGAGAGAATAGATGAGGGGGAAAATGTCTGACTGGAATGAAATGACATACAACACATTCTGGGGATCATGAGTGAGAAGGGATATACCTTAAATATGCCTAATATTAAAAAGAAAAAAATCCCAATGATAATCTGTTAGAAATAGTAATAGTGCCATTCAGTCCTGCAAAGCTGTTTGGGAAATGTTTACAATGTAATATTCTTCCTTTCTTTATTAGCTTGTCCATGCATCAACATTTTATTAAATGCCAGATGCACGTCACTGTACTCCAGCTATCAGTTACTCAAATGGTTTATAATTTGTAAACTAACCATAAAACAGCAAGCTGGGGAAGACTAATGACTGCTGATTCTATTGTACTGGTCAAAGGAACTGACAGGTAAACATCTCAAAAACTTACGAATCTGGTGACTTTGAGTAGCCACTGCCAAAGAGGCTGCGCAGAGAGCGTGGAGGTGAGATCTTGGCATCTCGGGAATAGAAGACCATGCACACATCCTTGGTGACGACAGCTGGCTGGATGCAATGATCCAACTGGAAGCACACAAAAGCAGGTGCTATGTAAATGCAGCAGAGTACCTGTGACCACAGGCTGTGCAGTAGCATATTTGGAAAGCTAGATTTGGAGATGGCAAGGTTTCAGAGCCACCAATTATTTAAATAGAAACTGAATAGATAATATGTGCAAGGTCAGCATATAATCTCAGAGGAAAATATAGCTCAGTGTTAGAGCACTTGCCCTACCACTGTTTAACAGATGAGCAAACTGAGGCACAGAGATTTTTCAAAACAAGGATTTGAACTCAGGGTGTTTTCAGGCTTTCGACTGTGGAACCACTCCTATGCTCTGCCACAACCATGAAAACAAAGAGGTGCTATTTTTTTAAAGTCATACATTCTTTAAAAGAATGGTAACTGGGTTACTAAAGCATAAGCCATCATAAAATTTGGGATCTTTTGACTAAATAGAGAGCAAGAACACAAACTAATATAACAATCAACAAAGTATAATGAAGCATATAATTTAAGGATGTGGAGGAAGAAAGGAGGATGAAATACGTCAAACTTCCCTGACTGACTCTACAACTTGCCCAATGCTCTGGGCTGGATACTCACAGTCCTTGAAGTTCTGAGTCTACTCACCTCTAGGTAGGCTGACAAGGTCATGTAGATCTTTTCTCCATAGGGTGTCACTCGGTTCAGAAGAAGGGAGTTATGCAGGGAGCTGTCCCATACTGCCTCAAAACGGTAGAAAGTCCTGAGGTCAGAAACACATGAGGGCATCAGCCAAGAGCAGCTGTTGATACTGTAGTCCAGGTTCTGCTACTGTCAGTAATCCTAAGGAATCCTACACAAGCCATCAACACTTTTATTTATTACCCTCATCTCCTAGGAGGAAAAGTAGGTCCTTATCCTCTTGCCCCACCCATCATTAAGGTATACTTGGCAGTGCTCACATTGTTCTTCTTTTAGGACAAGCTTCTGTCTATGAACATAAAAACTGTGTGAGAAACTAAAGACATTAAGATGAGAAGAATAAGTGAGTATGCCTAAAATCCTAGAAAAACTAAGCAAGCTCCCCTGTCATTCAATGATGAAAGCAGATCTAATCTTCACATCACCAGATCTGATCTTCATAGGCCAGCACTGCCAAGCCTCAGAAACATAAGAAATACAGGGGCTGGGATGTGGCTCAAGTGGTAGTGCGCTCGCCTGGCATGCATGCAGCCTGGGTTCGATCCTCAGCACCACATACAAACAAAGATGTTGTGTCTGCCGAAAACTAAAAAATAAATATTAAAATTTTTCTCTCTCTTAAAAAAAAAAAAAAAAAAACATAAGAAATACATCTGGGAGCAGGTGCGGTAATCCCATCAGCTCAGGAGGCTGAGGCAAGAGGATCGAGTTCAAAGCCAACCTCAGCAATTTAGTGAGGCCCTATGCAACTTACTGAGACCCTGTCTCAAAATAAAACATAAAGGGCTGGGGTTGTGGCTCAGGGGCAGAGCACTTGCCTAGCATGGGTGAGATACTAGGTTCAATCCTCAGCACTGCATATAAATAAATAAAATAAAGGTCCATTGACAATTAAAAAAATATATATACACACAATAAAAATATTAAAAAAGGGCTGGGAATATAGCTCAGTGATTAAGTGCCCCTGGGTTCAATCCCCAGTAACAACAACAAAAAATACATCCGGAAGGCTTGCTGGTGGGAACAGGTAGAAGAATTTTAAATATGGAGAGTCTTGTTCTAAATAAAAGAATAAGAGCCGGTATTTCAATAAAAGAGGATGATTTTTTTCTAGCCAGGTGTGGTGGTGCATGCCTGTAATTTGGGAGGCAGTTTGGGAAGCTGAGGCAGGAGGTTTAAGGGTTCAAAGCCAGCCTCAGCAACAGCAAGGTGTTAGTACCTAAACAGCTCAGTGAGATCCTGTATCTAAATCAAATACAAAATAGGGCTGGAGATGTGGCTCAGTGGTTGAGTGTCCGTGAGTTCAATCCCTGGTACTCCCCAAAAAAGGATGATTTTTTAAACAAGAGCCAGCTGTTATCATTTGTTACTTTTTGTATTTCATACATTTTCTTTAGGTATTAGAGATTTAATCCAGAGGTGCTTAACCACTTAGACACAACTCCAGCCCTTTTTATTTTTATTTTATTTGAGACAGGGTTCTCACTAAGTTGCTTAGGGCCTTGCTTAGTTGCTGAGGCTGGCCTTGAACTTGTATCTTCCTGCCTCAACCTCCCAAGCTGTTGGGACTATAGGTGTATGCCACCACACCCAACCAATGTTTTTTTTTTTGTGTGTGTGTGTTGGGTATTGAACTCAGGGCCTGTGCATGAGAGGCAGGCACTTTACCAACTGAGCTATATCCCCAGCCCCCAGACAATCTTTTATTTAAGAAAGAATCAGAAGCTAAACTTAGAAGATACCCAAAAAATGTTTTTTGAATTGTTCTAATATCATTTTTCCCTACTGACAAAAAATACAGACAAGCTGACATTCACCCTTTCAGTTTAGCAAGTCTCATCTGAAACACTGCTGGATTTGATGGCAGTTTTACAGATCAACCTCAGGCTCTGCCTCACCCTTCCCTCCTTGTGACCATGACATGTGTCAGGGAAGATGCTTCGTCTACTCCACCACCACTAGCTCTCCATAGCACATCTGACTCACCTAGGAAGAGTGTCTGCACCCTACCACTAGGTTCCTCCTTAGTCTAGCCCAAATGGTGAGCTGACTGGTTCTGCCTTCTCTAGGTCTCCTGTGATAATTAGCAGGCAAGTCCTCTCTAAACATACCCAATGCTTCATCCTCTGGAATGAACAAAGGAAATGACACATTTCTGAAAGTGAGCTCCTGGACCACACATACTCCAAGTGTGGTCACGCCCCTTTATAGCTGCTTTTTAATTTAACTCTTACAGGACTAATTCTTAAATGGCTAGCTTTTAAAGCAACAAGCTTGGGTCATAAAATTCTCAACAAAGACACTGAAGGACTATACATAGAAGCAGCTAATAAGATAAAGTCACCAAGGGGCTCAAACAGCAAATTAAATGATAGACAACAGGAAACTTTCCATGGCTTCTGGGTTCAGGGAGGCATCCACATAGCCCTGCTTAGATACAATCTTCGCTTTAATCTGGTTTAAGACAGATTCTAACATTGGGTGACAATATTCACCATTTCAGCAGAAGCCACCTAAGAACTATATCACCTCAACAGCTGTTCTTTTATTGTGTTATGGCCTTTGTCAAGGTGCCTAGACTAGGGCCTACCTATCAGATGGTACAGGGACAGCCACTACTTGTACTAGCCCCCCCCCCCAAAAAAAAAGTCCCTCTGACAGCTGAGAGAAATTCCTATCACTGCTGCCTATAGCCTATACTTAGTGATTTGCTCTGAGCTCCAGAGAACTCCACCCTGAGTTCAAATCCCTGTTTTGAAAAATCTCTGTGCCTCAGTTTGCTCATCTGGGTCTTTCAGCTGAGGCAATGTTTTACACTTGTACAGGAAAGCCTCTCCAAATTTGTGTTTTCACGTAACCTAAAGTGAAAATTTCACTGGCAGAAACCTGGCTAACATAAAGGAAATTTTGACTTCACTAAAACATTGCTATATTGAAAAAAATTTGTGTGTTTTGTTTTGTAGTTGCTACAAAACATTCTATTGGAATACCCACCAAAAATGGCAGGTTTTTTTTTTTTTGGTACTGGGGATTAAACCCAGTACCAAATTGGTCCAGCTGTAGGGTCAATGTGCCCAGCTCAAAGGTGGCAATTCTTGAGAGGTGGTTATAAGAAATACTCTGAGATTGGTAAGCAATATCAATTAAAAGAAATTGGCATGAGCCAGGTGTGGTGGGGCATGCCTGTAATCCCAGAAGCTGGGGAGTCCAAGGCAGAAGGATTAAAAATTCAGAGTCAGCCTAAGCAACTTAGTGAAGCCCTAAAGCAACGCAGAAAGACTCTTGTCTCAAAATAAAATATTAAAAAGGGCTGGGAATGTGGCTCAGTGGTTAAATGCCTCTGGGTTCAAATCCTGGTGAAGAAGAAGAAGGAAGGGGGGGGGGAGGAAGAGGAGGGGAGGAGGAGGAGGAGAAATAATAATAATAATAATAATAATAATAATAATAATTGGCATGAGAACCTGGAGTTAGAAACAGAGCTGAGTCCCAGTGCATGCTTTTTCCTGTATGGTTCAGGAGGTAGTGAAAAATGATTCCAAATACATTCCCTAAAGATGTGCTGACCAACACAGGACCAAAGTAAGAAACAGGTTTCAAGGTAACTGCTTAAATTATATATTCACTTGAATTATTAATTGCGAACAATTTAAAAACCAACTTCTTATGGTCATAACTAATTTTTTCCTGAGACATTCAATTAAGAAAATGCAATGGTGAGGCACTAAGCAACTCAATGAGACCCTGTCTCTAAATAAAATATAAAATAGGATATTTTTGTGTGTGTGTGTGCGTGTGTGTGTGTGTTGGGGATTAAAGTCAGGGTCACATGTGTGCTTAAGCAAGTACTCTAAGCCCAGCCCCTGATGGACCCTCTTGAGTTTACTAAGAGACTCTCTGAAATACCAACTAGATGGAGTCCGGGTTAAGATATAAACTTGGGGCCAGGGATGTGGCTCAGTGGTAGAGCATTTGCCTAGCAAGTTTAAGACCCTGGGTTCCATTCCCAACACGGCAAAACAAAAAACAAACAAAAAAACTTGGATCTGGCAGTATTGTGGGAGTGCAGTCCCAGACCTGAGTTTGATCCATGGCACCACAAAAACAAACAAACAAATAAATAAGACGTAAACTCATTAATAATATCAGTCAAAAAACATTCAGGCTATATTGTCATGCATTGCTTCTTTCAGCTTGCTTCCCTAAATCAAATAAAGGAAGAGATGGGAAAAACTTTCTTTACTACTAATCCAGACTTTTTTCTATTCCAAAATAAGAAAGATAAGGACCTTTGACAGAAGAATGAAAAATGTTTACAAATACACTTAACATTTCTTCACACAGACTCAGCTAGCCAAAGTGGTCTCTACTACCACGCAGAAAAAACAAAGAAGAATGTGAGCAGTTTTCAAAGGTTTTGGTAGAGCAATAAACCTCTCAAGCTTTTGAGAGAGAGAGAGGAGGGACAAAAGAGAACAGAGAACAAGGCCTGATATTCCATATAAAGTGAGGGGAGATGGGCATTCCACTTTGCAAAGTAGAGAAGAAAAGCTTAAAGGGTATAAGAATAAAATGGACAAACTTAGTAAAAGGAATGAGAAAATAATTTAGAACTCCAAAATTATGAAGTTATATGTGAAAATGTACACACAGCAGAAAAACCCAGGACACAAAGAAAAAGGTCTTGCTCTATCCTAGGCACAGCTTAGATTTACATGGGGAACAAACCACTAAATTAAAATAATAATCAAAGCAACATAAGACATAAAGCATTCTGATAAACTAGAATCTTTATGTGCAAAGAAACAAACAGAAAATACCTAGGAATATCCTTATCAAGAAAGAGCCTGCAAAAACATAGAAAGGGCTTTTGTTAGTGCAGCAACAGAAGGGAGGGAACAAAGAAAAAGAAAAAGCAGAAACAACAACAACAACAACAACAAAAAACATGGAAAAGTCAAATTTGCTAATAAGCAAAGTGAATTCAAGTGGACAACTGACAGATATTGGGATCCAATTTGATACAGCATTTACAATGACATGGTCCCTTTTCCTGAGACATTCAATTAAGGAAATGCAATGGTGAGGCGCTAAGCAACTCAGTGAGACCCTGTCTCTAAATAAAATATAAAATAGGGCTGGGGATATGGCTCAGTGGTTCAGTGCCCTTGGATTCAATCTCTGGTACCAAAAAAAAAGGATGATTTTAAACTTACCCACTGTGAGCAGTACATTTCTATTTCTGGCCCAAAACCTATTTATGCCAGTTGTGCTTATTATTATCTAATGAAACATTAAGGAAATTAATAAAATATGAAGATAAAAAGAATTCTTATTCTAAAAATTCAATAGTTTTTTTAAAATATCTTTTTAGTTGTAGATGGACACAATATCTTTTTATTTATTTTTATGTGGAGTTGAGGATCAAACCCTGTGCCTCACATGTGCAAGGCAGGTAGGTGCTCTATCACTGAGCTATAGCCCCAGCCCCTAAAAATTCAATAGTTTTGAGTTGTTTAAAAACAGCTGTTTAAATGAAGTTTGAGCAAGATAAATGTAAAAGAAAGAGTAAAATTATAAGATGTTTAAGTGATAAAATGTTAATGAGATAAATGATAAAAATTTGAAAGGATTTTGGATTTAGATTTTCTTTATAGGCTTTCTAATTCCGGTTCTACCAAACTGAAAATCATAGATGATGAGTGTGGTTTTATAAGAAAATAAACAGAATTCCAATAAATAATTCTGCAATTAAAGAAAAGGCCTTGGTCCTACAGCAAAAGCTTGATAAGCTATATAAGTGTATATTCACTTAAGTTACAACAGAAAGACACCTTTAAACAATCTTTTCATTATTCTTAACTTTAGTCAACTTTTTTATTAACTAATTTTACGGTTCTATTATATAAGATAAGCTGCTTCTAAAGAAGGCAAATTGATTTCTTACAGCCCGATCTGCTGCTGGGCATGAGCCAAAGGACCTTTTCAAGCCAAGGGTGGTGGCACACGGCTATAATCCAGCTACTTGGGAGGCTAAGGCAGGACTGCCAAGTTTGAGGCCAGCCTTGGAAACTTAGCAAGACTCTGTCTCACAATTTAAAAAATAAAATTTTAAGTGAGGGTGGCTGGGGATGTAGTACTGTGATGGAATGCTTCTAGGTTCAATCCCCAGTACCAAAGGGGGAATACAAAGAACCTTTCATGTTACTCTAACGCAGGTAAAGTCAGCACAACCAGCATTTAAACCAAACACCATCATTCCCTGGTATTTTGCTAAGTATCCTAAGAACATTTAAGATATATTTTTTAAAATTGCAAAGAAAACAGTACTAGTGAATGCCAGCTGAATATTGACTATAAATAATGTCTAGCAGAAGAGAGAAAGCTATGTGGAGTTACTACTGACTTTAGGGAAATGGGATTATTCACAGTTCTGCCCAGGGAGGGTCAATGCACACCCCCCTATCTCTCTATCCACTCCCCAAATACATACCTGCTTACACATTCCTTCCTCCCTTTCCACAGTCCCTGCTAGCTAACCTTACATGCAAAAAAGCAAGCAGAAGTTTATTCCTTTTTCCTCTTTGTATGCAAAACTTCTCATTTTCCCCTCCCTCTTCCCAAATAGACACGAACAAGTTTTTCAGTAGATGGAGGTACAGAGAAGCCCTGTAACGAGAAGCATTCTCAGCCCACATTAAACCTACAGCTGCTCGGCTGAGGTTGTGGCTCAGCAGTAGAGCGCTTGCCTAGCATGTGCAAGGCCCTGGGTTCGATCCTCAGCACCACATAAAAATAAAATAAAGATTATTGTGTCCAACTACAACTAAAAAGTAAATAAAATATATATATAGCTGCTCCTGCTTCCCAGCCTTTACAAAAGAAAGAGATGGACTCTCTGAGTCAGCCTTACTCATAACCCCTTTCATGGGTGAGGTAAGAGGAAGCAGCAGGTCTGTCTCCAGTCTATCACACATGAAGCAACATGAACATGTACTTTAATGCACTGTCATCGCTTGGATATAAAAGAATATTTTGAGAGAAACTAGTTTAAAATTAAAAACAATAAAAATCCACTATTTACAGCAGTCACTCTTGGACACAAGAGTTTATATTAATTTATCAACTTTATGCATAAATGGAAATAAGAAGCAAAAATTGATAACGACTAAGTCTATACTAGCAGCAGCAAAGACTGAATGCAAAAGGCTTTACTATTCCTTGGAGGACAAATTTCCATGCTACTCAGCAGTGAGAAACCTTTCTCCACAGTAACCATTTCACCAGAAAATGTTTAGGTTTAGCAATAATTGATGGGCACTTTTAAACCCTTGGGTAGTATGCCGAGGTTTTTGGTCTGGTTTTTCTTTACTACTGTGGCAACATCTAAGGTAGGAGTAGAACATCCATTCTCTAAAGGTAAATGATCACACACAATCCAATCACTTTTCTTTCTTTTTTGAGAGCTGGGTAGGCAAAGGAAGAAATAGGGAATTTTGAAGTGAGAAGTAAATTAGTTTCTTCATCTGCATGCATTTCTTAGGATGCCCCACCTGCTAGAGTTGTGGGAAGACTTCAGGTATTTGGCAGAGATGATGTTCAGGGACAGGATGGCATCGATCGCAGCTTCATCCACCTCAGGTTTATTCCTAATCCGGCCTAACAGAAATAATAAAGAAACCAGAAGAAAGGCACATTAAAAACCAGACATTAACATATTAAGTCCAAAACAAACTTTCCATTCTCACAAAGTTAACCCAGTCCTCCTAGGTCGTTTTCACTGTAACTGGTTAAGCGCAGGGTCCTGAAGGCTTCTCCAGTCTGTCTTGTTTCCCCTGTTTTGCACATTTAGTCAGTTGTTGAAACCTTATTCCAGCCTTGAAACCTTATTCTTTGTTCAAAGAATTTTTTGTATTGATCTCAGTTTTTACTCTCAATATTATTGTCCTGCTCACAAAGGCCATCTTCCCCTTCAATCTGGAACTGGCAACAGCCATTCATCTGGTCTCCTTGCTAGTCACATGTCCTCCATTCCAATGTGTTCTTTAGCCACTGACTTTATTCTACCACTTTCTTGCTCAAAATGCCACAACTCTGTTGTTTTAAATGCTATAAAACTAGGGGACACAGTACTCCACAGATGATAGGAACACAACCTTGAGAGCTGGACAGCTGGATTCAAGTTGTGGCTTTGACTCTCACTAGCTATGAGGCTTAACACTCATCCTGATTCTGAGCCTCAGTTCATGACAGTAATAATTTCTCCCTTATGTGACTATTACTAAGATTAAATAAACTAATACTTTTAAAGCACTCAGAAAAGCACATGGTGCCTGATAAACATTACACAAAAGAGTTTGTCAAACTAAACTGTAGAGTTCCTCAGAGAAGCCCGAGGGACCACTGCTTCTGGATCTTCCCCCTTCCTTTCTAATCTAAAAACATTGTCACTGTGGGGCTGGAGATGTGGCTCAAGCGGTAGTGCGCTCGCCTGGCATGCGTGCGGCCCAGGTTCGATCCTCAGCACCACATACAAAGATGTTGTGTCCGCCAAGAACTAAAAAATAAATAAATATTAAAAAAAAAAAAAAAAAACATCTCTTCTGTTTTGTACATTAATATGCCATAATAATATAATTTTGAGGGCCGGGGTTGTGGCTCAGTGGTAGAGCATTCACCTAGCATGTGCAAGCCCCTAGGTTCGACCTTAGCACCACATAAAAATAAATAAATAAAGATATTGTGTCCACTTACAACTAAAAAAAAATATTTATTTATTTATTTATTTTTAAATTTATTTTTCAGTTTTCGGTGGACACAACATCTTTATTTTATTTTTATGTGGTGCTGAGGATCAAACCCAGCACCCCGCGCATGCCAGGTGAGCGTGTTACCGCTAGAGCTACATCCCCAGCCCCCAAAAATAAATATTTAAAAAATAATTTTGAAAAAGCTTAAAAACCACTGCCTCAGATAAGAAAGTATAATCTCCTCCCAAGGTTCTTAATCTGGTTCATGGGGACACAAAAGTCCATAGATAGAACTCAAGCAGTCCATCACTTAGATGGAGAAAAAATTATATCTTTATTCTCACAAACAATTAACTGAAATTTGACATTTCCTTGAATTATGGAAGGCAATAAACCACATATGAATTAGCAGTACCTGTTGACTCTGTCCCCTGTATTAACCACAGATGTTTCCATATCAAACTGATTTTCATTCATCCATCACCACTGTGGAATTATGGTCATCAGATTCACGTTAGATCTTGTGATTTAATGCCTCAACGAAGAATACATTGTAGTGCAAATGTGTTTAATTAATCTTACCAGTTGTATTCCAGTATCATTAATTTCTTTTGTAATTTATTTTCTAAGGCTTTACCATTGCCAAAAGGTCCATGGCAACAAGGGTTCTGAACCTCTGCCTTGGACTACCATTCTGAAGCTCTTACTCTGTAGGATGCTTGATTTTTCCACTTTGGTCATGGATCTCTAGCCATTTGATGTTAGGCATATGCATGTTAGGCCTCTCTTACTTAAAATGTTTATGTTTAGAAAACAAATTCTCTTGAATCCATTCAGAACCTTTCTCACAAAGTTAACCCAGTCCTCCTACGTTGTTTTCACTGTTAACTCAATAATGGGAACTGAGAAACCAGAATTTCACTTTTGTGTATAGCCAGAGAATAACTGGAGATCAAACCTAGGACCTGAAGCATGCTAGCGAAGCGCTCTGCCACTGAACTACACTCCTAGCCCTGAAGGGTTTCAAACTCAAGGACTCTTATCATCCTCATATACTGTGTTCTCTATACTGGGGAACACAGAATATTACCAGTGTCCCAAACAGAGAATAATGACATGTCTAAAAAGCCAGGTTTGTGCTGCAGCTATAGTTCAGTGATACAGCACTTGCTAGGCATGTGTGAGGCACTGGGTTCAACTGTCAGCATAACATAAATAAATAAAATAAAATAAATAAATATATTTGAAAATAAATAAACAAATAAATAAACAGCCAGGTTCTATTCTTAGCTGATGTATACTTACCTACCACCAGTTCACGGACATCTTTCCAGTGGAGTTCACTCCCCTTCTCATGGATAATGGTCACTGTGATTCTTCGCTGGATACCCTGGGTAATAGAATAGGGCTGTGAGTTAGCTGGGGCAATCTATCATTTCCTCTTATTTGTTGTTTTCTGAATTGTATGGCATAGGAATGGGCAGGAAGGAGAAAGATGGAGAAGTAGGAGAAAATCTCTCCATGTTATTATTCTAAACAAAGTGGGGTGAGCCAGGAACTGAGCAATATTCAGATTCCGATAAGGTTTCAAGAGAGATGCCATGATTGTGTGTCTCAACTATGGGACTCCCTGCTCCATGCCCAAGCAGTTCTGAGCACTGACTGAATTCACTTTTGATTTACCCAAGTGAGATGTAAATTGAAAAATCAGATTTAAGTCTATCACAACTTTCATCCTCTACCCATCATTAGAGATTATGGCTGTGAAAGCACAGGGCTTCTAAGCATTATGGTAAGTATATGAAATCACAAGGAGCTGCACAAATAATAGTAAATGAATGAAACAAAATCCTTTTATGAAACAGCTATTCTAAAATATATATAAAAGCAAGGGTATATATAAGCCAAGGCCTTAAAAAAACACACACACACACACACATACACACAAAAGAAAAACAATTTGTGAGCCCTGGGTTCAATACCCAGCAACCAATAAAAAGAGAGGATAACATTCTTCCTCTCAGCTCCCTATCCCTGAAATAGAGATGAAAAGCTGAGAAAAATAAAGAGTTCTGAGGGGAAGGAAAGGGGAAATACTGGGAAATGATGCTGACCAAATTTATATTGTGTGCCTGTATGAATATGTAACATGAATATCACTATATTATTACAAAGCATTGATATGGAAAAAAGAACAGAAAGAGAGAGAGAGAGAAAGAGAGAAAGAGAAGGAGAGGGGAAGGGAGGGGGTGTTCTGTTTCTTTTTTTATTATTATTATTTTTTAGTTGTAGTTGGACACAATACCTTTGTTTATTTATTTTTATGTGGTGCTGAGGACTGAACCCAGGGCCTTGCATGTGCTAGGCGAGTGCTCTACCGCTGGGCCACAACCCCAGCCCCCTATTTCTTTTTCTAAATTATTTGGTTCGCTCCTAGGTGTTTCCCCCGTCTTTGTACCTGGTGAAGCAAAAATGTCCCCTGGCAGGGCAGGCCTGCTGTATGGTCAACCACAGCTGGGATATACCTATAAAAATAGAAATGCAAAAGACAGAAGTCAGTACTATTCTCATCTACAAGGCCTTCCTTAACCCTCTTAAGACATTCTGGCTGTGAAAGCATAGAATTTCCAAACATCATGATAAGTATATAAAAATCACAAGGGAGCTTCACAAATGATAGTGATTGAAAAAATAAAACTCTTTTTTGAAATAGCTATTCTAAAATATATACAAAAGCAAGCATATATATAAACTAAGATCTGAGGAAGAAACATCAAAATAATAATTGAAGAAAATAAAACTTTTTTGAAATAGCTATTCTAAAATATATATAAAGCAAAGCTATGTTTAAGCACTGTAGCCCAGTGATCTTTGTTTTTCAAAACTCTGATCTCTTCTCTCTCTCACCTATGTTGGCATTTAATCACAAAACCATTGGCCTTTACAACCCTTTCCACATGTCTATGGTGTCTCATCATCTTTACTAGACTGAAATACTCAAAGGACAGTAACATTTTTTGGTCTCACCTCTGGCCCTCACATAAGAGTCCAGTAAATACTGTATAAATGCAAAGCAATTGAAAGAGATAATTTCAGGTTCTAGATCTTTTTTTTTTTTTTAAAGATCCAAAAAGCAACTAACTGGTAGAAACCATCACTGTAACTATATCTTCCTTACAGTGCATTAATGATCTGTCCCCTGATAATCAAATTCTTCAAAGTGACATCATTGCTGACAACCACATACAGGATCTCTTCAAATAGGAGAGTCAAATATTACATTTCCTAATTTTGAAACACTTTGCTCTATATTAAAATTTAGAAAGTTGGACTTACTCTCCTGTAGGTTCCAGTTCACTGATCTCAAACCAAACTAGGAGGTCATACTTGCTCATGCTTTGGCCAAGGCTGGTTTTGCTCATGGGGTTTAATTTGGTGGCTGGAACTTTAAAAAAAAATTTTAGAAAATATCAAATCTGGTCCAAAAGCAAAAGCTGAAGCTTCTCTAATGTTAGCATTCAAGGACACACTTAGGAAAAGCAGCAGGTCAGAAGACAGATTTCAAAGATGACCCAATATTAACCATGTAGGTACCTCTAATTAAGAGAACAAGAAAAATGGAGAGAATCTTTTTCCTTCTTAACAGACTGTCCTCAAAGATAAGAAAACAGATTTATGCAAAATAAATGTGCTCACAAAATCACTAAAAACTCTTCAATTCTAGAATCTTATTTTGTGGCATGGTATCACTGTAGAATGGCAGAGACAGTGCTTAAAAAGGATGTAGAGAGGAACTTCACACATCATGAGGCTCCATGGAAGCTGGAGAGGTGAAGTGAAGATCTATCCTTCAACCCACAGCTTGCAGATCTTCCTGCACCCAAGGGTCACCAAGGATCTTAAGGATGGCAAAACCTAGGCCATGTCCCCAATAATCTACATCAGTCTATGGACTTCCTCCTTAGAATTCCAACATGCAGACAAATCTGGAAACCAGTGGTCTAATTTGTAAATACAGGAATCTCTAAATGACCTGTTACATGTTTCCTTCAGATTTAAATTCCAGGTTCCTAATGGTTTTGATGCTGTGCAATTCTTAATTAAGTTGCTTAACCTCTGTCTCCTTGGTGTATAAAAAGCACATAATAATATTTAGTCTGCTACCATGAAAAGGTATCATAAAGCCCCACTAACATAATAGATAGGAAGAGCTTTATGAATCATATGTGCATCCTACCAGGTGTATTCACCCCAGATGAATTTCACATGCACTGGTGATGCTGGTGAGGAAGAAAATAGGATTATGGTTCTGGCAGTCATCTGAGGGTCAGAAAGAACAACCACAAGTATTTAAAAAAGCAAACAAAGAGTAGGGGTACAGCTCCGTGGTAGAGCACTTGCTTAGCATGTGCAAGGCCCCGGGTTCCAACCCTAACCTCAGGACTGGAAATACAATAAAACAAAACAAAACCAACTATTAGTAAAAATCTTCAAAATTAAAACTACTACTTCAAAGAATCCAAAGAAAAAGTATCAGGAGCGCCTCACCCCTAGGGTGATGTGAAAGAAGCACAGGCAGCAAAGGTGCTTCCTAAAAGCACTCTGAAAGAAACACGGTGTGATCTTGACAATATGGTGAACTCTACTTTCAGCTCAAGGAGCAAAAAAACATAGATGTTTTCATACACGGCGAGCCAGGCTTCAGGACAAGCCCTTGAGTTGGTTCTACATCTAAGACAGCTAATTTAGCTACTAACCATCTCGTTTGGGTACCCTCTCGCTCTGGCAGCTGGGAACTGGCAGAAAAAGAAAAGGCGGCACTGGGTCAGCCTCGTTCTGGAAGGTGGCAACAGCAGAGGAGGCAAGCACACTGGCGTGCTCAGAAAACATGTCCAGTACATGCACATTCACATAGCCAGACACAAGAAACCGAATCAGCTCAATCTTTCTCTCGTGGTCTGAAGGCCGATGAAGATGAGGAGTATAGCGGGTGGAGAATGAGAAGAGGGTGGGATGGGAATTTGACAAGTGGGCAATGAGGAAAAAGGACAAAAATAAAGAAAAATCAAACAATATAAATGAGGAGGAACAAGTTCTGGTATTGTACTGCACAGTAGGGTGATTATAGTTAACAATAATGTATTGCATATTTCAAAATAACTGGAGAGAACTCGTAAGTATGTACTTATTATGTAATCAATCAAGAATAAAATAAAACAAAAAAAAAAAACCAAGATAAATGAACATGCAGAATAAGTTTAATATGCAAAGAAATATCCAGTGACTGACAGTTTGGGAGAGTTACAAATAAAGCAGAGATATTTAGGAAGAGAGAGATTATAAAAATCTGCATAAGACCAGAGAACTGGCAAATACAGAGATATATTGCTTTTTTACTTCTTTTTTTCCCTCCCCCAGTACTATGAACTGAACCCAGGGGCACTCTACCATTGAACTAAATCCCCAGCCTTTTTTATTTTAAGACAGAGTCTTGTAAAGTTGTTGAGGCTGGCCTTAAACTTTCCATCCTTCTGCCTCAGCCTCCCAAAGAGTTGAGATTACAGGTGTGTATCCCCACACCCAGCTTACTTGTAGATCAGGAACCAAAAATTTTAGCTCTGATAGATGCGTACAAGAGAAGCAGGAATATATAAGGATGCACAGAAAAGGAGGGATGTGATTGGTTTCTAAAATCATTTAGAATAAGATGTGTTCACACAGAGAATATCAGGCAAAGAATACAGATGCTCACCTGGCCTGGAGAGTGGCATGGGTGGAGGGAAGAATCGTCGAGAGGGCTGGGGTGGACTGTAAAGACAGAAATACAAACTAATTCAGGACCAAAAAGAATCAGATGTTCATTTTAATGGCATGTTTAAATTCGCTTTAAGAAAATGAATTTTGTACATTTTCAACTCTGGCATATCATTTACCACATATAATCCCACACAGTGAACAGACTAATGTATTTTTTAAAAAGCCCTCTATAACTCACAGTTACTAAATGAGATCAAAAAAATTCACCTGTTAACACTGACATTGATACTATCAAAAAAGCCCCTCTAGAGCTGGGCTGTGACTCAGAAGTAGAGTGCTCGCCTAGCATGGGTGAGGCACTGGGTTGGCTCCTCAGCACCACATAAAAATAAAATAAAGATATTGTGTTCACCCACAACTAAAAAATAAATATTAAAAAAAAGCCCCTCTAGTTGCTCTTCTCATGAATCTGTGTTTTGGTACTTGGGATTGAACCCAGGGGTACTGAACCACTGAGCCACATCTCCAGCCTCTTTCATATTTTTTATTTAGAGACAGGGTCCTGCTAAATTGCTTAGGTCCTTGCTAACTTGCTGAGGCTGTCTTTGAACATGTGATCTGCCTATCTCAGCCTCGGGAGTTGCTGGGTTATAGGTGTGTGACACTGTGCCCAGCTTCTTATCAGTCTTGACTCCACTCAAAAAGTTTCTGCTTTATGAATTTGAGGGTTGTTAGAACAATTATATACAACTTCCATGTTATAATCCTAAGACCCCCAACTTTCTACCACATTTGTTATGGTTTGGATATGAGGTGTCCCCTGAAAGCCACTGCTAATGCAGGAATGTTCAGAGGTAAAATGATTGGATTATGAGCTGTGACCTCATTAGTCAATCCTATTTTGAAGGATTGACTAGGTGGTAACTGTAGACAGGTGGGCATGGCTAGAGGAGGTAGGGCATGCTGTGGAAGGGCTCATCTCTGCATCCCCTTCCTGCTTTTCTGTTTCTTTGCTTCCTGACCTTGCATCATGAGCTGAGCAGCTTTTCTCTGCTTCCATGATGTGCTGCCTCACCTTGGGCTCAGAGCTGTGGAGTTGGCCGTTTATGGACTGAGACTTCTGAAATAGTGAGCCCAAATAAAACTTTTCCTCCTGTAAGTTGTTCTAGTCAGGTATTTTGGTCACAGTGACACAAAAGCTGACTAAAACACTATTCAAAGTCTCTTCCTACAAAAGGATGGCATTCAAAGTCATCTGGGGGCAACATTCAATTTGCTCTAACGTTAGTGATTAGGGAGCTAGAAAAAGGTAGTGAGATTTCTAAAAAGGAAACATAAGGTAATACATAAAACTATTATTTACTCATCTTCAACCCTCAAAAGATTTCTTCCTTTCCTGCAACTGAGGAATAATCATCAAAACAGTAACAACAAAAGTCTTTGCTCATCTGGTCCAAACCTGTTAAGATCCTGTCCTTGCAGATGAAGTGGGTGCTGCTGATAATGCCCAAAAACTTCAAATACAATCGGCTTGGTTTTGATGTAGTCCACAAATGATTCAGTGACCTCCACTGCAATCTAATAAGGAATAAAGCCATATAAGATTAGGGAGAGATTTATCATAAGAAAAATACACATTTGCACTTCAGTGAGGGCTTTAGTACTATTAGGCTCCCAACATGTGTTGGGTGTTTTGCTCTACAGGCCACCTCCACCAAAAGTCAGGGGCTCCCTCTTCTTTTCATTCTAAGGTAACTTTAACAAGCTCCAGATGTTCAAGACCGTCTACAATGTCCCCCAACTGATGACCCTGTTGTCTTTCACACACTTATGTTTCAGCTCAAACTCACCTGGGGCTCCTTCTACCTGCTTTCTCCTCTCTTGTGCCTGAGGGCTGGCCTAGGCGGCGCACTGCCAGGAAGGCCCTTCCCATATCTCCACATATCTTAGTCATTCCTATACTTCAAGGCCCCAAACAGTAATATCAATAAGAAAAACACATACTGACTGTAGACTATGAGCAAGGCAAATCTGACATGACTTCTTATTTATAATACATCCATCATGAAGCTCCTATCTCTCTCCTCCATTTAATCATGCTCCCCAACAAAGTTAACATATCTTTGCATACAGAAGAAACATTTTCTTTCTCCACTCTCACTTCATTTAATAAATGTTTTTTTCACATATCTTCATGTTCTACTACTGCATTTTACCTAGTCTCTCATAATTGTAAGCTCCTTGGGGGGGCATCTATATGACTCATCTGCATTCCCCAAACATATCAAGCACAATTCTATGCATAGCAGGCAATTAATATTTATCACACAAATGTGTTTTCAAATGTATAAATATAAAAATAAAATAGTATATTTCGGGCTGGGGATGTGGCTCAAGTGGTAGCGCACTCATCTGGCATGTGTGAGGCACTGGGTTCAATCCTCAGCACCACATAAAAATAAAATAAAGATATCGTGTCCACCTAAAGCTAAAAAATAAATATTTAAAAAATAAAAATAAAATACTGTATTTTGAGCTAGGTGCAGTAGCATATGTCTATAATCCCAGCAACTCAGGAGGCTGATGCAGAAGGATGGAAGGTTCCAGGCCAGCCTAGGCTACTTAGTGGGATTTTTGTCTCAAAATTTTAAAAAAAGGGCTGTGTGTGTAGCGCATAGTAGAGTACTGTTGGGTTTAATCCCGAGCATTGCATGTGCATGGGTGTGTGCATACGCACATATACATACAAGTATATTTCGTGTTCACTTGTTCTTCCCCTGGAGTTGTCTTCCTCTCTTCCTTTATAGAGTGAACATGGTTAACAAGAAAAGGCAAGGCAGCATCCTGTAGTAGTGAAAATCCTGAAGGCTAGAGCCACATTCTGTGGTGTGTGTTGTGTGTGTGTGTGTGTTTTCTGGGAATTGAACTCAGGGGTGCTCTACAACTGAGCTACATCCCTAACCCTTTTTATTTTCAGACAGGGTCTTGCTCTCTAAGTTCTCCAGGCTTGCCCTGAACTTGCAACCTCTTACTCCCTCTGTGAAGAAGGCTGTAAGGGGCCCTAGTGACTTAATCACAACATCCGATAAAACGGAAACAGACAGAATCTTAATTTAACCACAGAACATATTTAATTTCTTCTACATTATTTGCAACCAAATAATATAAATATATATGGGTTTTAAGGACAATGTATTAACTTTAATAAAACTAATATTAAACAGGCTTATTTTTATAGGACAGAAATTTAAAACAACTCAAATTGAGTTGATCTTCTATTCAAACTGATAGAAGATCTCATTGGTAGACCAGCTCTCACACCACCATTGTAACGCAGACAAGAGGCTGGCAGCTCCCTCCCTGAGGACTGCCTCACCACTTTGGCCACTCCCTCTATTGTCCATTCTCTCATCTAAGTGCAAGACTAGCAGGGCCAGCAGCAGTGCTTCCAATTATCACTGCACATTGGCATCCTTCCTCAGCCAGTAAAGCGGAGGCACCCCAAACCCAGGATATGCTTGGCAAAAATGTCCAGATCACTCACATTCTGCACATGATAAAAGCCCAGGGGACTTCCTCTGCCATTATTTTTGAGGGGTTCGGTGGAGAATGCTTCATCATGGCGATGCAAGAAGCTTAATAAAAAGATAAAACAAGCAAATATTGTATTAAACAGTTTCATTAGTATCTCTGTTTTAAAAGCCCAACTTGGATCTGATGGTAAGAGCCATCCTACTTAAGTAGATTCTTTAACTGAGCAAAAATTATTTACATTTATTCCCTTATCAAGATCATCTTCTGGGCTGGGGATGGAGATCAGTGATACAACATTTGCCCATCATGTGCCAGCCTCTGGTTTTGATCTCCAGCACCAGAAAACAAACAATAATTTCCAATATCACACAAATAACATTTTAGATTTTATTTGAAAAAATGAATGAAAAATTAACTGACCAAGATAATTGACCCACTTAACTGGATGTATACGCAAGAATGCTTTAGAGAATGCGAAGTGAGTTCAACAAACTCCTGTTCCCTTGTTGAAGTTTTTATTGAAAATAAAAATGACGGGATCATTTTGTGTAGCAAAAATTGGCAGACTTGAGTTTCTATAAGGTAATATGAAAGTCTGTTCATCATGTAGCTGCCTGGGAGTCTCTAACGCTCAGATAAGAGTAAATTCCAATGTCATCTCTTCCAGAAGGTCTTTTCTGACTTATGCTGACAGTGTTTTGTTCCTAGGAACTGTTTTTCCTTAACAACCTGATTTCACTATTTGTAATAATGTCTTTTTATATGCCTATTTTCCCAAAAGGCAGCAAATAGAGCTTAACACAAAGAAAAATACTCCAAAAATACTTGCTGAATCAACGGACTATGTTTATTTATCTTCACAAATAATAAGATTTTATTGTTAGTCTCCCTATTATTAGTCTGAAATTAAAAGTGGAGAATTAAAGAATCCCTATCACAGATTTATTGCCACATAGAACTATCCATCAGAAGGACCCTCAGGCTGGGACAGTGTGTTCAGCATGTGAGGGGTCCTGGGTTTAATCTCCAACATGTGTGTGTGTGTGTGTGTGCACGCGCGCATGTGCACGAGGGTATACACACACAAACTCCCTGACCCCATTCAGAAAATAAAAAGGGAAGGGGGAAGGAAATACTTTGAATAGGGGGACAGAAAGACCAGTAGGATGAACTCGTTATCTTCCAAATTAGTTCATAGTCTGTGAGCAGCAATGTGCTCTTGACAATTGCTCCAAATCACTGATTCCATGCTTTCCTAGTACTCCATGCATCCTTATATTTTCTTTCTTCTCATTACTCCTCTCTCTCTCTCCTTCTTTTCTTATCCTCCTCTCTATTTTTTTCTTCTCCTGATTGTAGATTATACCTGCCAGAGGCCCTTTGTGGGCATTAGTGGACCTGATCTGCTGTTGTGGGTGCTGCAGATATCCTGGGTCCCAGTGCTGAGTCAGGACCTCAAGCCACTGCTGCAGAGCTGCACCTTCCCTACTCAGACCAGTGGAGAGATGAGGAAAGCCCAGAAAAACTGAGTCTTCTCAGACCACTGGTCCACATGCTCTCAACTCCTGAGCTAATATAGGTGGAGGTGCTGCTCTTTTGGGTTTGAGGACAAAGGGCAACATATTCCTACATTCCTATTGTCATTTCAGACATCAGTTAACCAAACAGATCTGTTTCATAAGATGTATCACTTTTTCTTATTAAAATAATAGTGAAAGTTGCCCAAATCAGATTCATCTTAGCCATGTCCATCCTACCCTAAATATGAGGCTCTTAGTGAAAACACACAAAATAGCTGAAATCAACTGGCTGGATAGTATTTCAATAACACTCATCAGTTTCAGCAAATGGTACTGGTGGCTTACTATGTAGTGATCACATTTAATTCAAGACTTGGCTGAAACACACAAGCTTGGAGCATCCAAGCTCCATCATCAGGATGCCCAGGAAGGCTGGGGCACATATTGAGTGGCAAGGGACAACAGAACTCTAAAGCAGTCTTTGGGTAGTACCAGCGGCAAACTGTAGGCTTACACAGCAGCCCATATTGAAAAATATATTGATGTTAAGAGGAATGAAAACTTTAGATTCACAAAGTGTTTTCCTGGGAGGTCTTGAGAAGAAAGCACCTATAGGCTAGGGTTCCGGAAAGTCACAGGATAGAAAAAGATTCTGAGTAAATGAGAAATGAAACCACAATCTTCTCTCCACACTGGCTTTTCTCAGTTGATGCAATAATAGTTTACTCCTCTTTAGAGATAATTCACTGATTTAATCCTTATTTATTAAGAATACATTTCATGGGCTGGGGTTGTGGCTCAGTTGTAGAACGCTTGCCTAGCACAGGTGAGGTACTGGATTTGATTCTCAGCACCACATAAAAATAAATAAATAATAATAAATAGGGGCTGAGGTTGTGGCTCAGTGGTAGAGCACTCACCTAGCACATGCAAGGCCCTGGGTTCAAACCTCAGCACCAAATAAAAATAAATAAAATGAAGGTATTGTGTCCAACTACAACTAAAAAAATTAATATTTAAATAAATAAATAAAAATGAATATTTAAATAAATAAATAAAGGTTAAATTCTTAAAAAAAAAAAAAAAGCAGAAGAAGACAGACATTTCATCATGAAGAACACTAAAAACGGCTGGGGCTGTAGCTCAGTGGTAGAGTGCTTACCTATCATGCATGAGGCACTGGGTTCGATCCTCAGCACCACATTAAAATAAGCAAATAAAACCAAGGCATTCTGTCCATCTAAAACTACCAAAAAATTAAAAAAAGAAAAAAAAGAACACTAAAACCACTAAGTATGCTTATCTGGATCAGACTCTACATTCTTGGTACAGGAGGACAGTTCACAACAGAATGTTCCAGGAGGATACATGGCTCACTTCTCCCCATGAGGAACCCTGTATTATTCCAGTAAAGGTTTCTGATTCCCACTCTCATTATGAGTGAACAAAGTGTTTTCCTTTGGAGACAGTTTCAAGAGTACTAATATCTCCACGAGTGTAAAGCTCTCTACTAGAGGACATCTTCTCACTTAACAGCTGGCTAAATAGGCAGAACAAAGGGTGGCTTACTTGAACTGACAGAAGATATCTGCATACTCTGGAAGGATCCCACTGGCCTGCAACACTGTTACTCGGAAAGTGAAGGCACTGCCCAGTTTCAGATGATTGCCAATCTCTTCTGAAAACCCTTCCATAACCATCTTTCCATCCAGCAAAGTGCTTGATTTCAAATCTAAAGAAGGTCAAGGGAACACACGCATGGGTCAAATAATGTGAAGAAGAGCGAGTTCTTTCCATTACTAGTTGATGAAAACAACTATGTCCCATATTTTTCCCTCGTAGACAATGTCCCAATCATAGTAAACTCTGTCTACGCACCCAAGTCATTCGTTCGACTGATTTCTTCAGGAGGAGTGATGACCTCAGAACTCTGGCCCTGCCCTTCCACAATCCTCAGCTCCTCCAAGGATAGACCAGAACGAGTCATTGCGACTGAAGAAAAGTCACTCTGAAAGCAAGGCAGCGAGGATGGGGGTGAGTGTATATGAGAACATAGAAAAAACACATTTTCCTATTTTCTTTCTTATGTCTGTATACCCAACAAACAATCACTGGAAAACTATATGGATTAAGAACTGTCTAAGAAAAGGCAACACTACAGTAATACAAACGCCGGGTCTCTGCAGTTGTTTGACATAGCCATATACTACTGAGCAACTCAGGGGTAATCAGCCTCCTATACTTTTAGTTCTAGGCAGGAAAACTGGTCTCCAATGCGGGACATTTTCCTGATAAAATCATCTACTTCCTCTCTTCCCTCAAGGTGTTTCTTCTTACCAAAGGTTTCTCACCTGATTAAAGTACTCGTTATCAAAAGATATTTTAGCTGTTCCAGATTGTCGAATTCCAGAGCCATAATCGGGAGCTTCTTCATCCGCTAAGTGGAAAAACATCAGCAAGGATCAAATGAGACAATACATGGGGAGAGGAGATGTAACTCCTACTGGATTATAAAACAAACAAGACGGTCCTTTTGCATAAGGACAAATGACTCTAAAATAATAAAATGACATTGGCTGTTTCCAACTTGACTCATGTAGATTTACCACACTTAGCTCAAGTGAGACTACTTAGTAAAGAATCAGTTTTATCACTGAGATGGTTTAAATATCACACTTAGAAATACTAACCCTTTCCCATGTTGGCAAGATTGTGTTGAATAACACAAAACAAATATTTGAAAATATTATACTGCACTTGTGGAGGAGACCTCTACAAACTCAATATTGGTGATTGTGTGATAGGTTTCCATGGGAAAAAGACTGAAGTGACAGTCACTAGGGCAAAGCATTTGGAAGTTAAGACAGAAAAATACAGGAAAGGGCCACATTCTTTCCTCAGAATGTCAGCTGGATTATGGAAAAGTGAAAAGTGGTCCATGTGCTGCAAAATAGCAGCCAAAGAAATGTCTACTAGAAGTATCCTGAAAGAAAATTTAGGTAAGAAAAAGTTCTAAAACTCTTTCATCACTTCTGAACATACATTAAGATACATTATTTAAAATGTCAATAACTTAAAGTCATTCCAAGAGCTTATCTTCAAGTTAAAGGAAATCTTTTTACGCCAATATTCCAAAGTAGTAGTAGACCAGACAAAACAAAATCTATTTTTTTATATTTATTTTTTAGCTGTAGTTGAACACAATACCTTTATTTTATTTATTTATTTTTATGTGATGCTAAGAATTGAACCCAGGACCTCGCTCGTGCTAGGCGAGCACTCTACCGCTGAGCCACAACCCCAGTCCACAAAATCTATTTATGATATGTGGGGACAAGAGCTAGAAAGGAAGTAAGAAAGGCCTTCATAATGGATAAACATATCACTATTTGGGTTTGACTGAAGCAAGGCCCATATAGAGCCACCTTTGTCTCCAGGCAAGAACTCACAGCCTTTACTGCAGAGTTGGTGACCTACCTGCAATGGCCTGTACAGCCACGCGCAGAAATCCCCGCACTTCTCCCTTCTCACTGACGATGGCCACCCTGTGAATCAGGGGCACGGGATACAGCAGATTGCTCAGGTATACAAATGCCCTAGAGACAGACACCAGGAAACAAACATCAGAGCATCCTACAGAGGGAGAGGCTGGCTTTCAGCCTCAGTGAGAGTAGCTTCCTGAACCTGAGCTGGCTTCTGCACCTTATCTTAAGATCATTTCTTGGTTCTATCCTCTCAAACTGCCTCCAGCTGCCTTTTTAGCCCTGATGACACGTGAAAAAATTTCAAACACTGGACAAAGTGCTGACAAAAACCAATCTAGTTCAAATTACTCTCTGTAAGAACTACACTGTAGGTAGAAGAGTAGCAATTGGAAGTAGACTTCCAAGATACTGCTCTGTGAATACTGCTGGTGGGGTGAGAATCCCATTAAAGAAATTAAACCTTTAAACATAAGGAATTACCAAGAGTTCTAAGGTTTCCCGATAGAGAAAACAGAAATCAGGAAACAAAAACCAGGGAAATGTGACTGAAATATGATTAATAACTAAAATAAATTTCAAATCTCAGTATTATGGGTCTTTAGTTTATTCTAAGGACTCTTTTATCTTCAGGTAAGGTTACTGACAAGATAAGAGAGGCAGACACATGTGGGCAAAGACTGTGCAGCCAGAAATTTCTGAGTAGCAAGCTTATAGACTGCATGGGCATCAAGATACATGCTAAGGGGAGAAGCATAAAGCTGGTTCCTACAGGGTTTGCTTTTACTCCTAGAGTCCAAAACCTAAGTCAGAAATGCATAAATAAAAGGTGAATTACAGATCTAACACTTTATATTTCAAACAAACTAGCCAATTCTGTCACATCACCACTCTTTTTTTTTCTTCTCTTTATTTTGTAGCTATTGATTTAAAAAAAAAAGGCAATAAAAACTGAGTGTTCTTTCTAATCAGTAGAAGGGAAATAGAATCTAGTTCCTATAGTTACTCCTGTCTTCCCACTTGGTATATGCTGCTCTTTAAACATAAGACAAAAGACGAAGAATAAACATTTGCATCAGGAAACCAAACACAATGGAACGTGACACATATGTGCCTGTCTGCTGCTTTTCCTGCTCTGTTTTTACAACAAAGCTAGAAGGATGAAGGAGTGGACAGATACTTGGGATTTCAACTCAAAATAATGAAAACAGACAACATAACAGAAAAACAAATGTTAATTAAAGTTTAAGAATATAAATGAAATATGAAAGAAAACAAAAATAACTGCAAATGAACATTAAATCAGATCATGATGTCTACTTCCCTTTCAGTCTGCTCCAAAGCAGGAGAGGGGGCAATGCTGAGATAGAAGGTTAAAGCTTTGCTATGCATAAATTTAGGAATGAAAATGCATCTAAAAAGGATTACAAACAAGACCATCAAGCACCAACTACTAGGAGAGTCTAGAAGACTAAGAATTTGGCATATGGAACCAAACGGATCCTCTCACTTCTGAATCACCATACATAACAACTTCCTCTCTTGATGGCATTTCCAACATGGAGGACATTAAGAGCCACTACACACATGCCAGGTGGGGCCAACTGGAGACCGCTCTGCACTCACTGCCCACCTCGTGCCTTTGACTTAACATCTTTGGGTCTTATTTTAAACACCGTTTTTTTTTTTTTTGTTTTGTTTGTTTGTTTTTTATAACAGGACCCCAATGTTATATGATCTGAGCAACACACACAATTCTTTAATCACTGGTAAAATGTATATTTGTGTGATTGCTTAAGTGTCTCTATCACCTACCAGACTCTAAGTCTGTGATGACAGGAACCATTTGTTTTGCTTACTACTGTCTGAAGAGGGCTGGGCATAAGGTAAATACACTCAATAAGTATCTAGTGAGTGAACATCTATCTACATATATAAAAGAACAGCAAAGTGATATGTCATCTACCTTTAAGTAGAAGTGGAAGGTTTCTCAGAAAAATGAGAACTCTCAAGAGGCAGAGAGGCAAAGTAATTCAACTTCATATTGGGTTAATTTTTTCAAAACCGAATTTATGATGGATATTAACTATATATAACATGTTTGATCCCTAACCATACTTAATCTGTCACCTTAAACATAGCTATTCAAAACAGGAGCCACCGTTTTTTAGTATAGCTAATTGTATTTTATGGACACATCACAATAAAGTAAGATTGGAGCTCACATTAAAGAGCAGAATTTCCTTCGTGCCTATGGCAATGGCTATTCCAAATGTGGAAGCACTGAAGGCATTATTGTAGATATTCCTTTTCAGAAAAGAGAATCTATAATTCTGTGATAGGAGCATGGGCATCAGTTCTGACACGGAAATGCACACTCACTAACAGCCCTTGTCATGTTAACAGGACACAACCCATAGCCCAAATCAGTGCTGTATAAAACTTCTCCTTTCAAGTTTTTTAAACTGGAATTTTTATAATTACTCTGCTTTTCTGAAAGTCCTTATACTTTGACCTAGCAGACTGAAGAACAGGGAGGAGAGAAGTTATAAAAGATGTATTACGAGAAAGTTCTGTGAAGTTACATCGAAAATAGAAACAAATTTGTCAACATAAAGATAAGAAAAATCAGTATAATTATGGTGATACAGAAAGAATGTTTGTTAGGTACTTAGAGAGGCCACAGAATAATCATCTTTGCCCATTTTCAACCCGGAAGACTAGCTTACATATTTTGTATTTCATCCCAAGTTATGATGGATGGTTCGTAACATCCCAACATGCCAAGAGAATAGCTAAAGGGACAAGCTCTTTTAATTTTGATATAAAGATTCATCAGAGGTAGCCACAGCCCAGAAACAAATCTATAAATGGAATTTCATAAGAAAATGGATTTTTTTTGGGGGGGGGGGGGGCGGTAACCAGGGATTGAACTCAGGCACTTAGCCACTGAGCCACATCCCCAGCCCTTTTCTGTATTTTATTTAGAAACAGGGTCTCACTGAGTTACTTAGCTCCTCATTGAGGCTGACTTTGAACTCACAATCCTCCTGCCTCAGCCTCCCAAGCCACTGGGCTTACAGGCATGTGCCACCTAGACCAGTTAGAAAAATGAAAATTTTCAGAAGTGAATTGTATTTATAATTATGTGCCAATAGGGGAAAACTGATCCTATGAATCACAAAAACGGGAAAAAAGGTACTCCTCTTACACATCCAATGACTACTAAACAACACTGTTATACATTTTCTTTGCAGAGGAGAATAACTGAAGGCAAAAATGAGAGCTATCCTTCATTTTACTGACTGATTTTCACACACACACACACACACACACACCCCACCTCCCAGTCTTTTCCTTTTTTTTTTTTTTTTTGGTGGTAAGAATATGTTCTACCAGTGTGCAACACCCCACGTCCCCCTGTCTCCTTCTGGCAAGGCAAAGTTAGGTCTAAGAATCTGGAAACTCAAACAAATGTAAAGTCAATTCCTGAGCCATAGTATCACAAATATTTACATAAAAATCAAATTAAGAGTTGACTGCCTTACACTTATATTTTATATCTGATATGAAATATAAAACTAGAAAGAAAATAATGTACATATCTTAACCCAGTTAATATCCACATTAAGTAGGATTCTGACTTCAGTTTTCTAAACAACTGATTAAAAATACAAACGCTTCTAAGTAGAAATCTTAACCAGGATATTCATTTTGCCAGTATAGATAACACAATATGAAAGATGAAAGACTGGCAAGACTCTTTCCTACCAACTCATTTTATATGTGAAAATCCAACAGGCCTCAATTTAAGTAGCTTGTATTAAGTAGAGAGAAGACTTCTCCTGACCAGGCCACTTCTCCTGAAACTGTCCACTCCTCACAGTACAGTGGTGTAGAACACAAGCAAACAGCTTTAAAGCTATGCAACTGGCTTTGTTCATTGAGGCCAAGTTCATATGTAGAAACTAGTTTCTAACTTCCAACTCTCTTGGAATACGATGGATATGTGCTGAAGGATACAGAGAGCCATAGAGTAAACGAAAGCATTATTATCCCATTATCTGTATACATTTTTCTCACTTTTGGTATAAATCAGCTTTTCTGAGATTCTAAGTATCTGTTCCAGGTGACATACCAGTAGAAAACAATATCCATGGGTATATAATCCCATTGTGTTTATTCATGGAGAAACAACTTATAATGCCCCTTCCCTATTATAAAGTCCAGAGACTGTCCAATATTATGACTCAAACCTGTAACTGAGGTTTTCATTTTTATCAAAAAGCTTTTCTTTCTTCCCTTTCCATTATCTTCTACAATAGTTATGAAACTCCCACCTGGTAGGTAACACCTCTGTCTAATGGGGGTCAGGAGACTTGCTGGACATCAATGTTTAGATAACTTGTATTTACCACTTAACAGTGAAACAATTCCCTTATTTGTAAAGGGTTCAGCCATGAAGTTAAATTTTATATTTTAAAACCTGAACATAGTTTTTAGTTAATCCAGTGATTTCTCTACTGTCAAACTTGTAATTATCATTTCATCGTGAAGACTTGATGTGGAAAAAGACACCAGTGTCGGGAATTTATGCACAGAGTTCTATATCACTGACAGAGGGATGCACGGACTGAGAGCTAAAGACAATGCCTCAATTTGGTGAACTCAACATAAGTTTTGATAAATAATGCAGTTTTATGTCTAAATGAACAAATATTCATTTGTTGATGGTGTCAACAAGTAGTTTTCTGAGATTCATCATTATAAAGCTGATAGGTAAAATTCCAGCAGAAGCCAAAGGCCTGTAGATGCATTCAGTGAAACTGGATATAAAAAAGGCAGCCACTGTAGACACGAAGTTTTCTTGATTCATTTTAGGACTCAGTAGACTAAGCAAAAAAATGAACCTAACAGTACCCGGTTCCACTTTAGTCTCCTGTAGTACCACAAATTCTTCAGCCTAACCTTGGACTTGGTGTGTTCGTTCCCATGTAACCCCATATGCCTCCTCAGTCACATTCCTTTAAGAAGGAAGCATAGTCCACAGTATCATTTGTGAATTCATTACCTTTGATTCTTAGCCTTACTTTCTCCTTTGAGATTTCCTCCTTCAAAACAAAATGATTGTTCTGAATTTAAGATAAGCATCCCTCCACATAGTCTTCATATATTGCTGTATGCTGTATTAAGGAGATAGAATGCTCACAAATAGTGCCTGAGCTCTCTAGCCAGATTTGCATCTATGGGACTTTAAAGCATTGGCAGACTTGGGACTGAGCATTCATGAATTAAACTGACTAAGTCAGTATTATCCAAAATTGAACAAAGAGGTCTTTATAACAAGAGCTGGTCCCTTTTTGCCTTTCTCACAATAACCTCACCAACCTTCCCACTAAAATGAACCAAGGGGACCGGTCGTAAAACGGGTCATGCCCGTCACTGAAGAGATCTGATCCCTCCTCCGTCCCTGCGTCAGAGCCGGTGTCATCCACGAATGCCTCATCATCAAAATCCTCCATCTCATCTTGCTGCTCGTCAGCCAGCTCAGTGATGTCGGAATCGGCCGTGGAAAAAGTGGGGGAGGGTGTGCGGTCGGCAAGGCGCTCATTCACACAGCCGTGGAAAATGGGGGAGCTAGACACCAGGTAAGACGCCGATTGACACAGCCAGGGAGAGAGGAATAGTTGGTTAAACAAGAAGCGATAGGTGCCAACAGGACAGAGTCTACTGGGGAATCAACACAATAAAAGCAAATAGAAAAGCAAAAGGATAAAATAAGCATAAATCATCTGGATCAGGTGAAAGGGAACAAAAGGGCAGGTTGAAAAATTCTACAAAGATGGATCCTTAGAATAAGAAAAGCAAAAGAAACCCATGAGTAGAGCAACCTAGGTGAATACTGTGCTAGCAAATATTTACATTCTCCAGTTCACACAGAAAGACCAGCAGCATCTTGGCCTCAAAGGAGCTACTCAACATTAAGGTGAAATAATACGAATTTAAATGTTTATTTAAATGCTAACATGTTCTTGAAACAGAAGAAAAAAAATGGATGAAATAGTACATGCCAAAACAGCAAGTGCTTTGCTTGGGTAAGACGTTTTTGGCCAATTCATCTCTTTAAATAAGCTTGTCTACTATCGGAGTGGAGTGGAGAAGACTTCCTTCATTTCTACAAAATACTCTTACTTCAGCAACAGATTTTTACATAGCTCCTTTAAAAAACAGACTACTTTTGCAATTGAAAAACAATTCTAATTCTAAAAATAGCACAAAATATAAATTTCCTGCTTTAAAATTTCTAAACTTCTAAACGACTCAATATAGACTCACAGAGGCAATATTTGTTTTCATAAAATGTTGAATATAATGTATATATAAAAGAGACTCAAGAGGACTACAAAGATATGCAATTAATTCGCCCTTGGCAATGACAAAAGTGAGATGAACTGCTTTATGACTTCTCAGATTATGAAGATATTGCAGTCGGCTAAGACAATGATTTTAAGTTGCACAATATAACTTAATATATCTTAATCAATTTATCTTAATTAATTGCAAAACATTTTGTAAATAAGCTGAGAACCAAAGAAGACTGTCAAACCCTTTCAAAAGTTTGAGAATCAAAAGAATATGCATGTTTAAAAATGCTGAAGGGAAGTATACCAAATGACACGGTGGTTATGAGAGGATAAAATGGGGCTCTTTTATTCCTTTTTTCCTTTTAACCTTCTGTAATATCAACTGAGATTTTTAAATTAAAATACAAGTATTCATTATTTAAAAAGAAACCAACAAAATCATCACATACCTTCCCACAAGTTTGAACCAGTGGAATCGATCATAGAATGGATCACTGCCAGTCATCGTAGCTTCACTGTCATCTTGGGCATTAGAGGCCATCTCACCCGCCCTATCATACATCTCACGCATCAAATCCAGCCTCTGCCTATTTAGCAAACATGAAGGACACTGAGTTAATATTATGAGCTTCCATTAAATTTTTGTTTTGGAAGCATCTTACATGCAAGGTTTTTTTTCCCCCTGATACTGGGGATTGAACCCAGGGGTGCTTAACCACTAAGTATGTCCCCAGCCCTTTTTATTTTTTATATTGAGACAGAGTCTCACTAAGTTGCTTAGGACCTCGCTAAATTGCTGAGATGGGGCTGAGGTTGTAGCACAGTGGTTGAGCACTTACCTCACATGTGTGAGGCACTGGGTTTGATCCTCAGCACCACATAAAAATAAATAAATATATTGTGTCCATCTACAACTAAAAAAAATATTTTTAAAAAAAATTAAAAATAAATAAATAAATTGCTGAGATTGGCCTGGAACTTGCAATATTCCTACCTCAGCCTCCCAAGTGGTTAGGACTAACAGGCATGAGCTACCATGCCTGGCAAGAGTTTGTTTTAAAACCAGGCATTGTGTTGCACATCTGTAATTTTAGTAGCTCGGGAGGCTGAGGCAGGAGGATTGCAAGTTCAAAGCCAGCATCAGCAATTTAGTGATGCCCTAAGCAACTTATTGAGATCTTGTCTCTAAATAAAATATAAAAAGGGCTGGGGATGTGGCTCAGGGGTTAAGTGCCCCTGGGTTCAATTCCTCAATTTCCAATATTAAAACCAAAAAACAAAACAAAAAAAACAAAAAAGGAAGAAAGAAAAGAAAAAACAAAAAAAAATTTTTTAAAAAGCTGTTCCCATAATTTTTTAAAAAATATTATTTTTTAGGTGTAGTTGGATACAATGCCTTTATTTTATTTATTTATTTTTATGTGATGCTGAGGATTGAACGCAGAGCCTCGCACATGCTAGGCAAGCACTCTACCATGAGCTACAACCCCAGCCCCTGTTCCCATAATTTAATGTTATTAAAAACAAATGAGGGCTAGGGTTGTGGCTCAGCGGTAGAGCACTTGCCTAGCATGTGAGCGCCCTGGGTTTGATCCTCAGCACCACATAAAAATAGATGAAGGTATTGTGTCCAACTACAACTAAAAAATTAAATAAATATTTAAAAAAAAATGAGGGCTGGGTATATAGCTCAATTGGTAGAGTACTTGCTTTACATGCACAAGGCCCTGGGTTCAATCCCTAGCACCACAAAAAAAAAAAAAAAAAAGAAAGAAAGCCAGAAGTACTGAAACCAAAATCCTCAGTATCTAAGAAGTCTGAGTCTACAGAGAAGCCATCAAAATTCAAGAATGGCCACCTAACCTACAGAGAGTCAACCATCACAGGGGAAATGTTCCGTGGTATGTGACATCTCAAATACATTCAGTGGGAATTATCTCACCATATTAAATGTAAAGGAAGCTAGATTATAACTTTGTTTTTATTAATCATCACCATGAAGTCCAGGACAGAAAAGATACTATGGAGGGTAAATTTAAATATCAGATATCTGAGGAGTGTTATGATTCATTCACTTAGAAGGTAATGGATGGTTAGCAATATCACAGGCCAGCAACAGCATTTGGAAAGCACAGGAAAGAAAGCAACCACATCCTCAAATGAAAACATGAGGGAGTCCACTTGAGCAATTATTATTCCCTAAATAAAATAAGCAGCTTTTGAGTGTGTGCATACTTGAGTTTCTCCAAAGACCAATAATGTGTTGCTCCATTCTTCAGATCCTGAACTTCTACTGCCACCACTGTACGAGGAAAAGGTCTCTCCTCGTGAGTTTTATCCACTTCAGTGGGAAGTAATTCGGGAGGCAAAGGGGAATACAGTGTGTCAGTCAGCAGAACAAACTGAAATTGTACCTGAATGGAAAGAATAAACCATGGACAAATGTGAAAACCATTACATTTCAGCAGGTAAACTTCAGAGACAAGACAATATAATTATACTCCATGGGAAAAAGGTGAAACCTGTAGTATGTGCTATGGACTATCTGCAAAAGAAAAAGAAGAAGAAAAAGCTGCCTGTATGTTAAACACAGGAAATAATCCTAGTTTCAAATGAGCCTATTTACAAAGTTTGTTTCCCCAGCCTTGCAAATATAAACTAAGGTTGCAGTAAGTCTACTTCGCTTGATTAAATGAGGACTTCTGTGGAACTTATACAGAGACCAAAAGGTGGACCAAGAATACATCCAGTCCTTCACTAACAAGAGCTGATGGAACACATCAAGGTATTCCAATTTTAAATTCAGAAGACTATATGACTACTACTCTGAGAAGTATTTACTATGGCAGCCAGGTGCTGTGGCAAAGACCTGTAATCCCAGTACCTTGGGAAGCTGAGGTAGCACACACATACACAATGGTATGATGAAAGAAAAGCACCTACCGCACTTTATTTCTGCAGTTCTGGGGATGGAACCCAAAGCCTCAGACATGCTAGGCAAGTGCTCTACCACTGAGCTAGCCCCTATTTGTTTATTTATTTGGTACCAGAGATTGAACCCAGAGCACTTCACCACTGAACTACATCCCTGGCCCTTTTATTTTTTATTTTGAGATAGGGTCTCACTAAGTTGTTGAGGGTCTCACTAAGTCAGAGGCTGGCCTTGAACTTTCCATCCTCATGAGTAGAACCTCAGCCTCTGAATAGCTGGGATTATAGGCATTTATCACCACAACTGGTATATATATGATTATAGGCATTTATCACCACAACTGGTATGTAATTTATTTCTTGTTACCACCCTGTATTTTCACCAATAAATACTAATGAATGCTAGACATTAAAATAAGGGTAGGGAGGGAATTCCTGCCTTTAGTTAGTCTACTTAAGGAGAACAGTGGTTAATAAGTAATTATAAAATGAGTAGGGCTTCCAAGATTGAGAAAAAAATGATATCACAGTTTGCAGAAGCAGAATAGAGCCCTAGAGGCAGACAATGACTTTTACCAAAGACAGGCCATCTATGTGCCTTCCTAATGTTTAATGTGGTCTTTGGCTATAATCTTACCAGATAAGAGACTATTAAACAGTGGGACATACATAAGGATAAATCTAAGATTTGGTGTAAAATTTTGGTAATAATTACAAGAACATCTTTTACCATGTTCAGGCATGACTTTTAATGCTTGATATGCATCCATTCTTTGATTCCCTCACAAATCCCCAAATGGCAGGTACTGCTGCCAATCCCACTTAGTAGATGAGGGAACAGAGGCAGGGGACAGTTAGGTCACACAACCTGTGGAGCTGGGACTGGACTTACACTATCTGGGTGCAGAGCACATGCACTTGTCTACTACACAGTATTGCCTCTTATCTCAGAAGAGGAATAAATTAGTGGCAGGTGGACATACAGGACTTAAAGGTCCAAATTTAAAGGCAGAAAACTAAAAAAAGTTGAGATTTTTTTTTCAGAAAGCCAAGAAAAACATTTTTCTATTAATGTCTCTCCAGCTCTTGTCAAAAATACAGTCTCAGGTATAAAATGAACTAGAAAATATCTATTTCTATGAAATTTTATTTAGTAAAAATTAAATCAGTGTCTACTATATTCTAGGTATATACACTAAACAAAGGAATGCAGAAAGAAGCTGAGCTCCCCCCAAAGGTAAGGTTAGTTCAAGGTGATGTCCAAATGAACACACACAGGCTCAGCTCTGCCTCCAGGCGACAGTGTTCCTGCCACCCTGCGTACCTTCTTCTTCAATTCCACACTGATGGCATTGGCCTCCTTAAGGTAGACGGCATTGCCCCAGAGTAAGTCCCTTAAGGAAGTAAACTGGTGAGACTTCCACTTCCGGAAGGCCCACTGGGCCAACTCAAACTCATGCTGCGTCCAAGGTACTGAAAGAGCAAAGGAAGCATATTTGATGGTCATCTCACAGCTGTAAGAAATTATATCCGTTCTCTACTTTATCTTGGTGATCAAGCTATTTTCCAGTTTCTATTCATTAAATTGCTTTTGCTTTTCTTTTTAGTAAAGCTTACTAAATTCTGTTGATATTATAGAAGCAGAATTTTAAAAAAAATCTGAAACAGCACATCAAATAAATAAAATTTTCTCTCATTTTAAAATATATTCTAATGTGGTGCTATATTTTTTTAAAAAGTCCCTGATTGCTGGTATAGCAAATGATAAATCCCTGAATGGGAGGTACTGTTGCCAACCCCACTTAGTAGATGAGGGAACAGAGGCAGGGGACAGTTAGGTCACACAACCTGTGGAGCTGGGACTGGACTTCCACTATCTGGGTGCAGAGCACATGCACTTGTCTATTACCACAGTATTGCCTCTTATTTCAGAAGAGGAATAAATTAGTGGCAGGTGGACACACAGGACTTAAAGGTATAAATTTAACAGTAGAAAACTAAAAAAAGTTGAGATTTTTTTTTCAGAAAGCCAAGAAAAACATTTTTCTATTAATGTCCCTCCAGCTCTTGTCAAAATACAGTCTCAGGTATAAAATGAACTAGAAAATATCTATCTAGTAAAAATTTAATCAGTGTCTACTATATTCTAGGTATAAACACTAAACAAAGGAATGCAGATGAAGTTCTTTTCTAATATAGGGAAAAGGGTTATGTTTCACTTTGATATTTAAAAATAAAGACTTTAGCACATAAAGAATTCCTTCAAAGTTAATTTGAATTCTTTCTTTCTTTTTTAATTTGAATTTTTGAGACAACTGACAACTTGGGTAGAGAACCAAAGTGTAATGAAACTAGAAAACATCTATTTAGTAAAAATTTAATCAGTGTCTACTATATTCTAGGTATATACGCTAAACAAAGGAATGCAGATGAAGTTCTTTTCTAATACAGGGAAAAGGGTTATGTTTCACTTAGATATTTAAAAATAAAGACTTTATTCTGGAAAACTTAACTAAGCTAGCTGGTAATGGCTTTAAAGTATGGATACATTCCAAAGTCTTCAGCTAGGAATCTAGCAAATTAATTATCTTTTTTTTTTTTTGAGAGAGAGAATTTTAATATTTATTTTTTAGTTATCTGCGGACACAACATCTTTGTTTTTGTATGTGATGCTGAGGATCGAACCCGGGCCGCACGCATGCCAGGCGAGCGCACTACCGCTTGAGCCACCTCCCAGCCCCGCAAATTAATTATCTTAACAATGAGTAAGCTCTGTATTTACTTGAATATATGAAAGTCGTTTGTACAATAACATGAGATAATATACATAAACATCCCAAAAGATTTATGTGAAGACTGCTCAAAAACCTTGTGAAGCTATAAAACACTATCAGCCTCACCTTTACTCCAGAGATCACAGCCTGTGTTCTCAGCACTGAGCATCTTATAAATCACCTTTATATTGGTTCAGTACAAGGTCAACAAATGGTGGGTCAATTTTGAGGAACCCAGTATTCATAACAAATAAGGGATTAATGTGATAATACAGATCCAAAAGACATAAGAGAAGGTTTCAGTCTCTATATTTCACCTTCTTCTTCCTCTTCTTCCTCTTCAGTAGTTTCTGCAGCCAGGGAACGGGTCTCAACTTGCTTCTGCAAGGCCTGCAATTTACTCTCATAGTCCTGAATGAAAAGAAAGGAGACAACATGTAGGAGAGTAAGGAAGGAAGGAAGGAAGAGGAAAGGAACACAGAAATGCAAGGAATACTGGGGGATGTAAAGAAAGCAAAGAACAATGATTAAGAAAGAGAGAGAGAGAGAGGAGAAACAATAATAAAAAGACCTACAGAGAAATGCTTGGGGATGGGGGGGATGGCGAGAGAATGACAAATCATATACCATAGTCTGCAATGCATAGTGCAAAAAAGTAAAATTAACTGCAGCGCCTCTATTTCTATTTCCCCAAGGACTCAAGAGTTCTTTATTTGGGCTTGGGGTAGGAAAAAGGAGAGATTTTGAGGGGAAAAATGCATGTGTCCCTTATATATTAAAATACATTCAAATAATATAGTACCATCAAGGAATTCTAGAGAAAGATAATTTTGGAAAAGATTAAATTCCCCATTCCCCATTATTATCAAAAGTTCCAGTTTCCTATTTAAAAGGGTAAACAACTAGAGTTGTAGCCTTTGAAGTTTCATGTATATGAAAAATTACTATCTTTGTAGTGATAGGATAATGTCCCCTTCAAATGACCAAAAGCTCACTGCTGGAGTGAAATAATTGACAGATTACATTGTTGTTCAGAAAAAGACACTTTAAAATATGTTCTTATACTATAAAATGGATTATTAAAACAAATCAGATTTATCCTCTGTTTCTACATCTACTCTGTGCATTTTCAATAAGAGTACTATCAGCTCAAAACGGACAAAGAAACAGTTCTGGGCAATGAAAACAATCTCATTCGTTTTATGTGTAAGGCATAAATGCAAACAGTACATGAACTGTGTATCTGAGCTATTAAAACTTCATGATGGGGATAAATTAGGGGAAAACTGCCTAAAAATGTCCCTTGGGGTGTCAATGGAAAAAAAATAACACTTTAAATCTGGGTGCTATTGAAAAAAAAGAACTTTAAATTTCAGTGAAAACAAACCGGTAGGATTAAGAAAGGCGATATCCTTCACTTCATGAAACATTAAATTGCAGAATAAATGTGTTATCTTGAGATCTGTAACTGGCTTCCTGCTTCCTTTGGTTCCCCAGGAGTGACCCCAATCACAGGCTGTCATAAGACAGTCCTGGGCTGCTCCATCACACAGAGCTCTCCAAGGCACATATCAAGGTTCCACAACTGGAGTGCTGCAGAAAGCCTCCTTAACAAACTCCACTGCAGAAAGAGCTCCTGATGGCAACACCATGGATACAAACATTCTCCAAGGCTTCCAGGCTCGGTGGAGCACACCTGTAATCCCAGTGGCTCCAGAGCCTGAGGCAGGAGGACCATAAGTTCAAAGCCAGCCTCAGCAACTTAGCAAGGCCCTAAGCAGCTCAGTGAGACCCTGTCTCTAAATAAAACACAAAAAAGAGCTGAGGATGTGGCTCTGTGGTTAAGTGCCCCTGGATTTAATACCCTGTGCCAAAAACAAACAAACAAACAACAACATTCTCTAAGGCTGTGGTCATTTGTCAGGTGGGAGAGATAGAGGCATAAGGAAAGGAAAGAAAAGGGAAGGAAGCACTCTACCACCGAGCTACACAGCCCAGCCCTTTTTGTTTTTTATTTTGAGACAGGTTGCCCATGCTGACCTTGAACTTATGATCCTCCTGACTCAGGCTCCCCAGTTGCTGGGATTACAAGTGTGTACCAGGGGGCAATATTTTCAAAGTTATTTTCTAAGCATATCATGCACCCAGATCTTTTTATTTAAATTATCATTCCTCACTAAAAGAAATTTGGGCTCCGAGAGGAAATAGTAGATTCCCAGTTTGGTGTATGGTAAGAAAGTATAAGGTGAGCCTAGAATATCTTGTGCCAGAAAAGATGGAATAGCTCAAAGACCCCTGGGATCATTTCAATTGGACACAGACTCCTACTGGCCAGTAAGTCACAACAATAAAAAAAGAAGACAGCACATTGAGTACAGGAAGAATCCATTAGTTTACAATAATACTGAATACTGAAAAGGAGGAAAAAATGGAAATATCGTCTTAAAAAAAAAAAAAAAAAAATATATATATATATATATATATATATATATATATATATATAAAAGCCAGCTAATAAATGCAGAAGGAACAACTGGGAAATCACCATACTGCAACCCCAGACTCAGAAACAGACTCAGGCAAGGATCATTAATAAATGCTAAAATAATGGAGTGAAAGGTGTACAGGAAACAGAATATTGATACAATTCAAAGTCCACTCCCAGATACCTATTATTATTATGGGAAATGATACATTTACAATGAAGAGAGCTGGAAACCAAATGTGTTAAATTTCAACATTAACAGTAACTGTCTAATGATGTGATGCCACATGAAGTACACAACATCAACTTCATAGTATTCTTAGCAAAAATGTTCAACCTAAATCGAACCTCAGGGCAACGATCATATAAATCAGAATGTGGCCTAGATTCTTAAAAACACCAATGTAATAAAGGATTTTAAAATGCCATAACCAATTTCAACATAAACCTTGAGTAAATCTTGGATTAAAAGGTACACAAATACACACACCCCTAACATTTGTATTTTTTAAATAAGGAGATTTGAAATTAAACTATTTGCACAATAGTTTAATTAAATTTTTGGACAGGATAATGATATTAAATGAACATCACTGATTTTAGGACATACACATGGAAGCACTTAGGGATCAATTATCATGATATCTGCAACTTTCCAGTGAGTCAGGAAAAAACCCACAAATAATAAGGTTGCATTGTCCTATTTTTTTCAGCTTCTTTGTAGGTTTGAAATATTTCAAAATAAATAATAAGTTAGGGGGCTGGGGTTGTGGTTCAGCAGTAGAGCACGCACTTAGCACGTGCAAGGCCCTCAGCACCACATAAAAATAAATAAATAAAATAAAGGTATCGTGTCCAACTATAACTAAAAAATAAGTATTAAAATAATAATAATAGGAGCTTGGGTTATAGCTCAGCGGTAGAGTACTTGCCTCGCACTTGTGAGGCATAAATGACCTCTGAAAATATTCTCCCTCCCTCCCTCCTTTCCTTTTTCCTGAATATTTTCAGATCCTCGGCACCACATAAAAAAATAAATAAATAATATAAATAAAGTAAAGATATTTAAATAATAATAATAATAATAATAATAATAATAAGTAGTAGTAGTAGTAGTAGTAGTAGTAGTAGTAGGGGAGGGGGAATTATTTTCCCTTTAAAAAGAACTACATAGGGCTGAGGTTGTGGCTCAGTGGTAGAGTGCTCGCCTAACACATGTGAGGCACTGGGTTCGATCCTCAGCACCACATTAAAATGAAATAAAGATATTGTGTGTCCACCTACAACTAAAAAATAAATATTAAAAAAAGAACTACATACTACATGGGAGTCTTTCAGCAAAAAGAAAAAGACTGCTGGTTTACTGAAAAATCACCAGTTGGAAAAAAATGTTAATATTCTGAAGATTTCTTCAAGAATAAGTTTATAAGCTCATTAAACTACCATTCAAGACAAAATTCTTAGACTCACTTCCCTAAAGGCTCTGGTAGTGCTTTAATGAAGCAGGAAAATTGACATAAACAGATTTGCCATTGCCCTTGCACCAAAAAACTAACTACATTTTTTTAAAATAACTTTTTTTAGTTGTAAATGAATAATACCTTAATTTTATTTATTTTTATGTGGTGCTGAGGATCAAACCCAGTGCCTCACACATATAAGGCAAGCACTCTACCGTTGAACTACAACGGCAGCCCCCAACTACATTTTGATCTGTAATTAGTAGTTCAAATATCAACAGCATTTCTTGATCTGAGCTCCTTCCCCAAAGCAGACTGCTTATGAATTTCCAACAAGGAGGTTTTGTATGTCACCAGAAAAATTCAATCAGTATTGCATTTTCCAAGAACAAATAGATTCAGATAGTATTATTTATCTTATGGTGAAAATTAGGATAATTGTTAGGAATGTGGCCCAGTGGAAGAGTGCTTGCCTAGTATGCACAAGGCCCTGGGTTCAATCTCTAGCCACCTGCTCCTCCCACCCACCCCCAATTAAATTAGGACAATTATGGAAAGCATACTTAAAAGGAAGGAAAGGAGGGAGGGAGGGAGAATATTTTCAGAGGTCATTTATGTTTATAAAAAGTCCTAACTTGGGGCTGGGGTTGTGGCTCAGAGGTAGAGCACTCGCCTAGCATGCGTAAGGCACTGGGTTCGATCCTCAGCACCACATAAATATAAAATAAAGATATTGTGTCCACCTATAACTAAAAAATATTTTTTTAAAAAAGTCCTAACTAGTTCAAAATATTCCCTATTTTGCAAAAGCACAGTACTACCTCTTTTCTCTTCTGCAATGTTCTCTTCTATCCACCAGCCCTCATTTATAAGCCTATTTTGTGCCAGGAGCTTAGCTTTTCTTTTTTCCTTTCTTCCTTCTTTGGTTTTTCTCCCTCCTTCCCTTCCTTTTTTTTCTTTCTCTCCTCCCCTCCTTCTTTCTTTATTTTAGTACCAGGGAATGAACCAGGGGCATTAACCACTGAGCCACATCCTCACCCCCTTTTTTTTTTAAATTTTGAGACAGGACCTTGTTAAGATGCTAAGGCTGGCTTTGAACCTGTGATCCTCCTGCCTCAGCCTCCTGAGCTGCTGAGATTACATGCATGCAATATCTCACCCAGCTGTATCAGGAACTGTTCTTTAAATTTGACATGGGTTATTCTGATCTTACTTCTGTAACTCTATGAAAATTATACTATGGTTAGTCTCATGTCAAAAGGAAAGAAAAAGGCTTAAAGAAAATGAACAACTTTCTACACCATTATATACAACTATAATACACCAATAAAAAATGTGGGGGACAAAGAAGAAAAAACAGAAATTGAATAACTTTCTAGACATTATACTTACTAAGTGGTGGAAATGGGATTTTAAACCAGGCAATCCAGAGCATTATTCTTACAAACATCCATCCATCCATTCAT